ATATATATCTGATCTAAATTTATCCAGGGTCTCTCCAAGAGTGCGTTTATGCTTGATTTTGAAGGTAGATTGAGCGATCTGAAACGCTAATCGTAAACGCTCATCGTAATCGCAGTTCCACGGTGTACTGTTTATGCTCATTTCTCTGGCTCCTCCAGGCAAATCTGGCTGGGTGGCCTTGCAGCTGGATTTGCAAACCTGCACTGCGCATGCTACGTAGACCCACTAGAGGTCGGTGCGTTGACCCCATTTAAACGCTTTTACAAATGATTGTGCGTTTATGCTTCCCAGAATCGCTGATTTTGCAGCATCGCTGATCATAAACGCACCTTTTTGTGAGTTTATACGATCTGCGATCGTGATCGCTGTTTTTCGGTGATTCTACAAAAATGAGAAAGGACGCAACCGTGTTTTGAACTAAAAACAGAAAAAGTTGAGCATAAACATACCCCAAGAGAGAAATGGGGTTCATGATTTGAGCAAACAGGTGAAAGGGATTAATTTGAGATTAGTCAGTCAGTGATACCTCTAGTCAAGAGGGCTTTACAGAGGAACATGGATCAAGAATGAGTTAAGGGGATTATCTTGATCTTTGAACTTGGACCTGGAATAGACCAAGACCTCCCAAAGTGTTAGATCTTTGTTTGGTCCTCCCACTGTAAGTGGGCTAGGAGAAGCCTTCAAAGACCTTGTTATTTCATTGTCTATTCCCTGAATAGAGCTATGTAACACCTTTCATCAATAGGATTGGGTTTCTAGAGTGTTGGTCACTTCAATGTAGCACCTCTCTGTCAAAAAACCTTGGTTCTTAACAAAAACCCTCATGTGACAATGCAAGTCTAGGCTTTTCAACATTGAAATATACAAAGCTAAAAAAAAAAAAAAAAATTTTAATAAAAATTTATTAGAGATTATCTATTCAATACTTTCCTTTTCCATTGTACAATTTTTCTTAAAATTATGTTATAAATGCTTTTTGTTTAAACACTACCAGTACTCTGATTTCCCTTTTATTGTAATTTGTATATTGACTTTTGGCCCTTTCAAAAAATCAAACACTGTTGCTCAATTATCTCCCACTTACCATTAACTTGTCATTTTAAAGACAATCAAGTGTTGAGTAAAAGTGAAAGGAATCTGAACAAACAGAGCCAATAGTTTCCCTTTCTCTTGACCTGAACAATACAAAGGAATGTCATTGATTGGTTACCATCCGAAAAAGCCTTTGTCTTCTTTTATTTCATTTTCTTTCTCCCTCTTTCTTTTTATCCTACAGATTTCAGAAAACTTGAATTTAAAGCTCCTTAAAATGTCAACTGGCTCATGCCAATGGATGCAATGAATGATTGCCATGAAATACTTGCCTATTCCATAATTTTTGTTATATAATCATTGTAAAGAATGACTTGGTGTCCCACAAAACCATTTTATCTTGTAAATGGGGCCTTTAAGAATGAAAAGGACCATTGTCAAAAATAGTGGGTTTGTTATGTTGACTTCTTGGTTAGTACTTTACTAAATGTTGCTTCTGAATGAATGTGCATGGCTGTTTAACAATGAGCACATACAGGTGTAAGTTATATGCAAATTAGGAGTGCTGCATACTTCAGCTCATAACATTACAACCATAAAACACCTATTTATTGCCCCTGTTCTTGTTTCACTATAATTGTACTTTCTTCTTTTTTTTTAATTGGAATTTCTATTGAAATCAATGTAAAAAACATGTCATTCATAGGAGCTTTTTAAAGATTTTCTGTAGTTCATGTAAGGTTTCCCCTTGCCTATGCTCATGTGTGTTTGAAGTTTTTTCAGAGGTTTTCAAAACTTGATAACTCATGGCTAGAGTACATGTATAGTATGTTCTTGAAAAGACTTAAGTCGATTTTAGTCTATGTGAAACACCCCCTGTTCTTCTCTCTCTTTCTCTCTCTTTCACCCTCATTTTGAACAGGTCGCCACTCTGCCTGCTACATCATCAGTTTATTGTTGCACTGCTCCTCCCATCTTGAAAATAAAATACAGATGTCCTGATGATAATGGATATCCGTAGCAACCGATGATGACAGGACCGGAGAGAAATGTCATCTCCTGAAACACAACCAAGTGTGCATATGGTCCCCAAAGCTTGAAATTATATACACACAAATAAATGAAGGAAATATCAAAAAATTATCTCTCATATTTAAGTCATAAACAATATGGATGCAACTGTTAGTGACAGGGCAGTAGTGAGCAATATATGGTGCCCTCCCCTGTGGCTTGAGTTCTTCCTTTATCAAAATGACAGAAAACCACTACAGTTGGGAAATACAGTTTAGGAAGCCGATATTTCTTATTGATGCTTACTTCTCTCTTTATTGGCAATGGCACAAAATAATGACCTAAATTTGTTCAACAATTTCCTGTCCGCAAGGATTACAGAAATATTTGTTGTGGTTTTATGGACTTTTTCCAAATAAGTGAATTAAGTTTTATGGATATGGAGTGTCAAGGGGAATGTATACCATTGAACTGTGAGCAGTCTTGTCTTTGGCCCGTCAACCTGAAAGGACCTTTTTCTGCTTTCAAGAAAGGTGGTGAAGCTATGGGTTGATTGAGCAGAACTAATGCGCGGTGTACGCTTTTCTTGCGTCTTCTTGGGCAGTTATTAATTGAGGGATTGTGTTTCATCAATGAGCCTTGTGAAGTTGTTATAGCCACAGTATACCCAACAATTGTGAAATAATGGGTGCATTCCAAGGATCTTTTCATCCACCATTGATCTTCTATTGATGTAGTCCATGAGCATGAGTGCAGCTCAATGAAAATGTATTGAGAGATAAGCATCATGGATGCATCCACTTCCTGTCAAGAGCATCCTCATTAGGCCTGTCTTCACTATCTCGAGATTGCCAAATATCCCACGATTTCCCAACTAACGGGATAGTTTGCGATCGTCTTCATTAGACCGAAGTACGGAGTCAAATATCCCGATCCCATCATGTACAACGATTTCCGGTTTTCCGTGTTTACTAGTTGTACTAGCGCGCTGAGCGGTATAGATTGCATGTGTGCCGGAAATCGTTGTGCATGATGGGATCAAGATATTTGACTCCGTACTTCGGTCTAATGAAGACAGTCGCAAACTATCCCGCTAGTTGGGAAATAGTGGGATATTTTGCAAACTAGACCGAGATATCTTGGGATATTATCCCGACCAACTATCCAGCTAATTTGCTACTTCGGTCTAATGAAGACGCAAATTAGCTGGATAGCTTTGATCGGGATAGTTCAAATAGCTGGATATTTGGCAATCTCGAGATAGTGAGGACAGGCCTAATGTGGACTGGGTATCTAATGTTAACTTAACCTCTACCTTCCCAACTCAGTTCATAACCACCTGCAATGTTCATTCAACATACAATCATTGAAGAAGATAACTGAAAGGGTTAGCACTTCGAGTACTTAAGACATGCTATACATCGCTCAAATTTGTTTACACTAATATTGCAGTGAAGCAATACCGGAAAATTGTTCCAAGCCGATTAAAAGGCTAAAAGGGGCTTTACGTCACGTTGTAAATTCTTGTCACACAGCAAACAAAAGGTCAGTACGGATAATGATTTCTGAAAGAAAATATAGTAACCAATGTAATTGTTTGCGATAATCATTTATTATGAATAGAAAAATCCTCCTGTAGTTTTGGAGAGAGTCTTTCCTCAATCTGACAAACACTCACTCTGACCTCTTGGTCTTTCTTTTTACTTTCTGTCACACTTACATGTACCCTCCCAAGAAACTATGACATTAGATAGAAATGTCTTGCAACACTATTAACTACCAGCTCACTGTTCTTTACTCATCCATACTGATGTAAACGTTTCAGAGAATGGAATAGTTGGCCGACTTGACACATTTATTGAGGATTACATTTAAATGTAGCTCTTCAGAGAATCTATAACATTCACACATCCAACGACTGGAAGAACATCTCAATTTTAAACAGGTCTATCATCTCTGTATTACAAATGAATGACAGCACCTAAATTAGCTTGTTATGTACAGCATGAATATTTTAATTTTTTCACTTCACACTTAAATACTTGACCAACATATCACCTCATCTAATAGATGTTATCAATGCTACATCATTCTAACGATCAGTATTAACAAGCTCCAGGAGTCTAGGTCTAGAGCCGGCTCACGATCAATTGGGCAAAAAGAATTTCCATTTTCAGTTTAATAAAATTTTGAGTGGACTTTAAAGGTACTATGTCCCTTTTGCAGCCAACCTCAAATTCTGTAGAACTTTGCAGGAATTATGAATATGTCATGTACATGTCATATTTGTGAAATTTAAACGTTAGCAGTGTCCTCATATTCAAATTATGCAAGGAAACCCGTTTACTTGCTAGACTTCACTGTCAGACACTATTGAGTGACTGACTGGCTTTTTTTCTTCTTTGGTAATAACATACATGAAAAGAGTTGTAAAGGGTACATGAGCATTTATCAATAACCCACTTCTTGTTATGGCCAAGATTAAACTGATTGAATCTTTGTGCAGCATAAAACGTATGACCATTCGGTACAATTGTCTTAAAATCAAGACTATTATTTTTGGGCTCTATAGCCCTAAAGTCGATTTGACAACTAATAGTTGTTATTTTCCCACTTGAAGACATTTTCAAGCCCCACCTTTTTTAGGGAAGTTCTAAATTAGTATTATCTTTCAAATGCAGTTGGAATTTAACTTTTTCATTTTTTTGGCCTGCAAATGGGACATTGTACCTTTAAAAGATTATTATTATTATTATTATTATTATTATTACATTCAACAAACATGCCGAAGTATACCAGCAAACACACACAAGACTCGTAAGCAATCATTGTCAATCAACAATTCGTCTTTGCCTACATAGTACATGTACTACCTGCATGTCTGATGTATGAGGATATATGATGATGTATGGACAGAACTATAATGCACATATACTGTACTACACAGGACATCCCACTCATAGCAAAGCACTTCACATACATTGTGTTGTTCCACTTGTTTGGCCCTCAGAATGTTCTAACCACCAGTGATCATCAGGGAAAAAATAACTTGAAAAATTTTGGGGGCTACTTTTCAAGCTTGCTTGCATGAAAATAAGACTTGTTAATTTTTTTTGCGTTGAACTCTATGCAAAATTTGGGGGCTCTTTTATGACTTTTTGGGGCTCGTTCGCCCTGAGCCCCAATGTATTTTTTCCCTGGTGATGATCAGCACAACATCCAACATTGATTCACCTGTAGACAATCACTTTAAAGTCACATTGTAGGGATTCATACATGCCCCCCCCCCCCCCAATCACAACCAAACACCTACTCACACTGACTCAAGCACTCTTGAGCAATGCCTGAATCTTACCTGCAGGAGTGATGGATCCATTCTGGACACGCACGACTTGACGACACTCATCCAGTCCGGCAAACTGGAAGGGATTGATGCAGGTTCGGACATCCTCACTGCAGGCACACTTTTCAGTGACTAAGTTGCAACCTGAGAAGGACTTGATTTCACATTCCAGGATGTAAATCGAGTCCTGACTGTCTTGAGAGGACTCAGCGAATGAGCCGATTGCATCAGAGTCTCTCTTCTCTACATCTGGATTATAAGAGATATAAACAATGAAACAAGACATCAAACCAGTGATAACATAAAAAAGACAAGAAAACCACTGATTGTGACTGTGAGTAGTGGCCCTTCATGATAAAATAAATAAGTTTAACTGTGAATGAACAGTACAGGTGGGGGGGGGGGGGTCACCATAACCACCAAAGATATAACAGTAATTTTCTTTATGTTCATAACAATTCCACTTGAAAGGAAGGTTACAATTCAATAATATATCGAAAAAGTTTTGTTGACTGACATACAAATTCAAATTTCTCCCATTTGTTGTGCACAAAGATTTATAGTCAACATTCATGTACACCTTTGTTTAATCTCATTTTCTTTTCTCATAGTGATAATGAACTAGTCTGAAAGCAGCCTCTTTGATGACACCTCTCACTAGTCTCATCTGCATCAGTGAAGCCTATTACTGTTTACACACTGGCAATATTTTGCTTAACCACGTAGTATAGGTGGGGTTAAGGGAGGGGGGGGGGTCTTAGCCCCACCTATAGTACGGGGTTAAGCCTATTCCACTTTCTGTTGAGACTGGCTTTTACCAAAGTGGGTTAAAGTTGGCTAACCCCACCTATAGTACGGGGTTAACTAACCCTGCAAAATAGCAGGGCTAACTCCGCAATTGTGGTTCTAACTCCTGCTAACCCCGCAATTGCGGTGCCAAGCAAATGAATGAGAACAGAAGCAAAAAATAGTCCGGTACTACGCAATGGAGCGTATCGCAGCTGGCCAGATGCGAAGTATGTCCAATCATAACATTCATGATTACTATTCACGATATCTGGGGTTAACGAATTGCAGTGAGAACAGCGTGAATTTTCCCATTTCAGGAATAGGCGCTAGTACGGGACTAAAAACAGCGTGTGTGAAAAGCCAAAAAAAATAGTCTGGGGTTAAGGATAGTACGGGGCTAAGCAAAGTATGGGGTTAAGCAAAACTAGTGTGAAAAGAGTATAACTCGGCCTATTCTCAATCATGCAGCTACAGGGACTGTGCAACTACATACTGTACATGTGCATGAGTACAGCTTTATTGTTATGAACCACAACTGTTTGACAGGGGGTTGTACAAGGTCTGTTATCCAATAACAGACATTGTACTGAACAAATTGTATCACTTGGGCACAACTCTACTCTGTCATCAATTTGTCAGGTTTACAAACAGGCAAATGAGCAGTCTATTGAAGATGAGGCACTCTTTATAGGAGGTAAGATCAATAGATCGCATCAATAACAACCTTTAATCAATAAATTGAAATAGATAATCAAGGTTATTTCTGTCTTTTTCAATGAATAGTTCTGCACTTAAAATTCAAGCCCCACCTCACATTCATCACATTGTGGAGAGGTTCTATTTCCATTTTCTCAGGTCTCAATACAGATCAGAACCTCCTTTAAACTAATTATTGATCCATGTGCTGAAAGAAATTCACAACCAACATGTAATAAAAGACTATGAATAAATACAAAGATAACTCAGGATACACCCTGTTAGAAGAACAGATTAACTTAAAACTATATAATCTAAAATATGTTAAAAGAACTGCATCTACATTATCTAATATCAAGACTACATGAATGTACTTTCTAAAGAACAACCTTTTCAAGAAAAATATGTAGACTCCGGGTGAGCTGAATGTACATGACATCATCATACAAAGATGGCAGGCCTACATTAAGTACATTTACATGTATGTACCGTAATTAACCGTGTATAAACCGCCCTCGTGTATTAACAGCACCACTCTTAAATGCCCGGCAGCATGCCAGGTCCATGTTAAAAAACCCACACGGGAAGGCCTTTCATTTAACTGTGAGGTGCAGCTGAATGTGTAAGATCATTAATATAAATAAAAAAAACAGTAGAGGACCTACTGTAGGATAGAACCTTATGGTACGCCGCGTAATAGAAGAAAAATTTGAGGAATTATTATTATAAACTACATATTGAGATCTATCAGAAAGATTACTTTCAAACCAAGATGACAGACAAATTTGAATGTTGTTCTAGTTTCCGAGTGGTGAGTCAACACACCGATTACTGAGCTGGGAGACATTGCCAGGCATAGCGCCAGGTGGAGGGGAATAAATAAAAACTTTAAAAAAAACTTTTAAAAATTGGTGTACCGTGTATAAGCCGCACTCCTGATTTTGAATTTTATTCGTCGGCAAAAAGGTGCGGTTAATACACCGTTAATTACAGTATGTACACCTGTATGATAGCACTGCAATTCAATGTCTCAATCTCAAGTAATCGATAGCTGAATTTCTTGCATTGTGCCTCTTTCTATCATTTACTGAAACATGCAAATGTGCCAATTGACATGTACCAATTTTGTTTCTGCTTTGTTATGTTACGACTCTAATTTACCAGGCCCATTTATCTGCTACACAATGTAAAACCTTTAGCAGTTGATGTGTATCGATCCATTCATGTGGCTCCCAGAATAACACATTCAAATGTGATTCATTGTGACCGATATATACTATGACACTTTCCCCTAATTACAGTCACAAAAATCAATACTTACGCCCCATAATTTAAACTATTTGTCTATTCATTGAGAGACAGTGTATCCCTAGGCTATAGACCCACAAGAACCAACCAAAGACTTGAAAGTCTTATGAGGCCGTGATCCTTTTCCAGTCTAACCGCTCATTATTACCTCTCTAATTGATTTATTTACTATTATTATCATTGCTATTTATTATTGTTTGAATTGTTGTAATTTGAGTTTAATTGTATCTTTTTCAACAAAGAAATAAAACCGAACAAACGAACAAACAAATAAAGTAAACAGTATTCTTAACCCTCAACGAAAACTGAGGTCTACATGTATTTGGCTGTGGATAGAATGTTTAATGTGCAATTTTGTGATGAACATAAAGAACATGTACAAATGTATAAATGTACTCTGAGTTGCATTTTCAAACCTTGCTAGGTCATACTGAGACCTGAGTCCAAACCTATCTTGTGCTGTTCAAAGAAACGTACTGGTTGTAAGAAATGCAAGATGATCATCCTCTTTGAATAACCCACACCCTGGGACTTTTCATCAAATGAATTAGAGTAAGAATTTATACATTCATACACTGTATTTCTGACAAAAGGTCTTTGGTAATTAATACATACATGTACATGTCATGTTGTACTTTAATAAATAGTAAACTACTCTTAATATTACTTTGCATAATGTAATGTGATAGTAAACAAAAATAATAATAACAAAAAAAAAATGACAATAATTAATAGTAACAATGATAATTATATTAAAGAACACTTATTTAAAAAAATAATAATAATAATTATCAACAATAATTAATAAGAGTGCTGAAACTACATGTAGTAGAAAATAACAATACTGGTGAAAATGTCATGGTTGTTATAAATCATTTACAAAATGATTGAGTATTGAAAGGCTTTTTTCTTTTAAAGATTCACAGTGTAAAACATACAGTGTGTGTTTGGTATTAGGTACATGTAACATTTCATTTCAATAACTTTTCAATATGAATGACTGATCACTACAATTGATGTGTAGAATCAATATGTCATCCAATATTGCACTGCACATATGCTGGCTTCTCATATGATCTTCGGCTTGGTTGCACAGGTGTACACAGGTGTACACAGGTATAGATTCAATATCAAATGAATGCGTATTGCATAGAAGGAGTTAGATTTGAAATGTTTGAGTTTGAACGGTTCTGATGATTTTCCTCTTATTCATCAACTTGTGTAATTGTCACAAGGAAGAAGCCACACACCCACTTTGTCAATAATTTTCTACCTTTACAACAGACTGCCCATTATGTATAGGTGTAGAGGTGTTGTGGTCTAGTGGATAAGTCGTCGGACGGTGGATTACAGGTTCCTGCCGCAGCACTTTTGGCAAGACATTAATCTACATTTGCCACTCTCCACCCAGGTGATGGGTACCGGTAGGAAGGAATTTCTTGAATGCTGTGAGCACCGAAATCAGTAGTGTAGTGTAGCCTAGCAGAGCCGTGTAATATTGGAGCGTTTTAAGCACCCAGCAGGGTGGATATGTGCACTACAGAATATAGATATACATGTAAATATCCAATATTATTATTATTATACGCAAATCAGTTTTGTAAGGTGAAGAAATAACAAGTAATTATAAAATGGGTTCTAGAATGTAGGCAATCTAATTGGTCTAATGACACCATGTGACCATGCATCATTCTTTCCTATCTTGCCAATGATGCAAAAAAATAATAGTAGTTGATTGAAACGTATGGTAGGCTATTATATTTTTTCCACTGGATACAGAGTGCTTAAAATCTGGATTTTTAAAATTGTATGCCTTTTTGAATACCACAAAGACAGCCATCATTAAACAATTTCACAATTACAGTAAAACTCCTTCATTAGATTACAATGAAACAGTTTACATGGCTTTCTTTAATAAGCCACATTAAACTTACGTGTACCAGCATGTAAACACCAATTTGTTCATGCTATAGGCCTACCGGTATACAAATATGTAGATCTTTATTTTGTACTGTACATGTACATGTACAACACATACAGTAGACCCTAATTTAAGTTTCATTTCTCATTAAGTAATATCCAGCCTAAATATATTGTACATCAAAGATTTTCCATGAGAGAGAAAAGATCCTGACATGACAAGCCTGTGACGTGATGAATAATAGATGGGGTCGACTAGACTCATTAACTCTGTCCTCGTTACCAAGGGCTTCAAACACGCTTGTCTTACACCCTTTCTGGGTCAGCTAGGCAAGGAGTTCCTTCAATTATCTTGTTTCACATCCGCTCCCAGGTTCTACCGCTGTATCCTTGTCATAATTAATAACTTCTCACCAAACTTCTTACATCTAGGAGCACAAGGTTTGTTTTAACACCTGATCTTATTAAAAAAAAGTTCTTCATGTTTTTTAATTAAAGCCACATTGTAAATGCTGCCTGATATAACAACACCACACGTGATAGGCCTTCAACGTAAAATTTGCCTTTACATGCTATAAAACAGGTCTATAATGATCTCAGTCAAACCTGTCTATTGAAAGGTACTCAACTGAAACAGAAAAAGCAACTACTGTGGAGTGTAGAAAGGTGGCCTTTCCAGAGAGGTGAAAACTAAGACAGGTTTGACTGAATTTAATAAAAATTATGGAATGCACAATGTGGCTTTTTGTCATAATTCCAGACTTGAAAATACTAAAGTTATTGATGTCCTTTGATGATAACAATCAAATTTCTAATTTCATAATCTATCATTTTGTAATGAACTGCTTCAAAGATTGCTGTCAATTCTCTTTATGACCTTGTATCCCTCTTACATGTATAAGTGTACCCAGTCAATTCCAACTAGTGTAACATTCCAAGCCCATTTCCCCACTGTGCAATATATCCACCAGCATGTTTGCAGTATCACATATTTGCATCATATTTATTAGACATACAGGTTGTACATCTGTACATGCATTTTGTTTGAACAGTGCTGTCACATCAAAAGTTATACTGCTACATGAATATAATCCATTAATTTTCGTCTGGAAATCATTATTATACTAGCAGTCTGATTTTTTAACAGATATCTACAATATCTTGAAGAAAGAAGATCAGGAACATAAATCCCTTTATTCTGTGAATATGTGTCTACTGCTTAAAGTAAAAACAGAAAATGAAGTCCCATGAACATGTATGTCTACATGTACATACAATCGAATGCATTCCTCTGGGCTTAACACGAGAAGATGTTCATTAATGCATCTTATATTCATGCACCTACATGTAGAGCTTGTGCCAATAGTCAGTCACTGGTATTACAGATTGACAATACTTCTACATACATCGTAGTGAAACCAACCAGATTGCCTAACAATTACTTTGAAGGCATTCCTCAATCTTAAATTGATTGCTAGCCTACAATGCACATGTGAGCACTCTGGCTTCACCCATGTCAAACTAAGCCAACAGGCAAGCATGTAAATGGAGTAAATGCCCTTTGCCCTGTCTGATTATCAACGTTCTATTCACAACTAGTAGGTAGTCCATGCCTCTATTCACTCACTCACTCATATTCACATCTTTGTGTTAAGTACATGCTGTGCTCCAAAGTGAATTCACCCCTCTCAAACTTCCAAGGCAAGCCAATTGAAAGGAAACATAAACCTGGAGACGCATGCATTCCAATAGATTCACAGACTACCAGCTGAAATTACTACAATCCAAGAGTATTATTGATACAAAATATTTGTGTTTTAAAGTACAGCATACCGGTACATGTACCTCAGATGCAACTTTACAATGTAAAATGCAGAAAAGAGAGATTAAATACATACTCTGTAGCATCAACATACATGTAACAAGTATCTAAATAGAAACACATATTGTGGAAGGGCCTATACCATTCCATTCACATCAAGTACACTGAATTGTAAAACATCATGTCAAATATGTCACATTTTGACCTCTAACTTCTAAAGGTTGCTATTTCCTTTGAAGTTTGAAGCCAGCCAACAGTGACAATTGATACATTTCTCCTAACACTGTTTCTAGTTTATTACCTTTCAATACCCTTGTTATCTGTAGTACATGTAGCTGGGTGAAAATGTTTGTTGTCTTCTTTATTTATTTAGATGTTAGCAGATTATCTGTACTTTTTGTATATATTTTTTTTACTTCCTTCACTCCTTTTGAAACTTGCCCAATACTAATTTACTTCTAGTTCTCATGTTCACATTTAAAGCATGCTTTATACAGAGAATATGCTAGGCCTGTATCCAATATATGTACATTCCATACCTCCGAGCAACAACTTATAAAGCCAGACTGAACCTGAGTGAGTTACTCTGTAGATTTACTGCAAGAAGAGCTAAATGTACTGCAGAAAAATTGTAATAAGTTATTTAAATCAATCAAGTACTGTTAAATGTAGATGTGAAAGCTAAAGCAAATAAAACATGGATACAATACATGCAAAAGATAACTATAATGATATCAATCAGCATATGCTACATGTACTAGTACAGGTATGTATATTATTAGGTCAAATGTAAAAAGAATATGAGGTGAAAACAAATGAAACTGAAAACAAATAGATCTACTAGATATTAACTTATTTTTTGTGATATTTATTCTACATCTAGATTGGATAATTGGACAAGATTTCATTGTTTTTACTAGTAAAGCAAAGAATTGTTTAAGTTGTCTAATTAGTCTAACTGTGAATATATACAAAAGGCATTAATGTTTGGTCACATTTTGATGGATGAAATGAAACATTACAGGATAACATTGTTGAAATTTAAATGCAAAAAAAAAGGAGGTGAAAAAAGTTTTCTTTACTAAATTACCTCGACATATTCCTTGAGCATCAGAGCTCAATGAATCTCCAACTGCTACAATGAGTTCACATACTAATCCATTATCACACTGCCCATATTTATTGAACCGTCCTCCACAAGATTGTCCATCCAGTTTGGCACATTCCTTGCAGCAAACACAGACATCATCCACTACACCACCTTGGCAGGACAGAGTCGGGCACTTCTCCCGTTCGCAGGTGCCACACGACAGGGCTGTCGCCGTCGCGACCAGAGAAAGAAATATTATTGTTTTCATCTTCACTGCTGATGGTTCATCGGAGTTATGTTGCAAAAGATATAAAACTTATCCAAAATGATTCCACAAGAATGTATGCCAGGAGTATCCAATAAGTTAGCCGTAAGTTCAGGTCCTTATTTCAAGAAGTAGGGTCTATATCGAATCCTCATCTCACTCTCATCAGCTCGTCAATATACCGTATAGCAGCACCTGCTAGCTCTAGCTCTGTATACCAGCGCGTCAGCTCAGAGGAGCTAGCCGAGGAGATCAAGAGAAGAATGCATCCCGAGCCTGACTAAAGCTACCCATCTACTCCTCTCCTCCAGCCTCCATATCCCAGTCTCGCTGAGCCTGAGCTGAGAGGTTGACATCGACTTTCTTCAGAAAGCAGACGAAAATAGTTGACGGATCTGAATAGTAAGGAGCCAAATTCGATCAGTGCGCCTATAGTAAACTGATAAACAATAGTCCTTGTTCTTGAGCTGCGTACGATCGGAGATGGTTGCAGGATGGACTATATTGATGCAAAGCTGAGAAGTGCTTTGATTCTGATTTCACGGTGTGTGCATGCAAGCTGCACGTAAGGCGCGCGCGTTCGCTATATATAAGCCTAAAGTGCATTTGCGGATTTCATCGCGCGCACCATCGCGATCCATCGCTAGTTCAAACAGGTGCAATTCGCAGAATGATGGCGCATGTATGTATTTCAAGAACCGCACGACGTAAAAATATCTGCGCCTTGTTTCACCACGGGTTTGAAGTAGTTTGAAGGAATAGGGTCAAGTTGGCTGTCCGTGCTTCTTAAAGATTAGTATTCCTTCGTGAACAAGTCTCTCGAAGAGTCTTTTACTTTTTGACAAAGTATGAATACCCGATCAGCCCGGCCCCCCACTCAGTGTTATTTGGGGTACGCATATGCTCGTACCCTCTTTTTGAAAGCACCCCCTATCTGAGGACTGCCAACATTTCCGAACCCCCCTTTCGCGGGCTTTTCGCGGGCTTTTCCTGCCTTGGAGACCCCCCTAAATCAGGTAAAATGCTCAATGTACCCCCTTAAATTCGGAATAATTTCTCAGGAATCCAAAGAGATGAGAGAAAAAAGGAAAAACACCCCCTTTTTAAAGAAATCTCCGGGTGAAAAGTCAAATACACCCCTTTTTTTACAATTCTCGGGCCGGACTTTGTAGCACGAAAAGTACCCCTTTATCGGACATTTTGGCAACACGCATGCGGTCATTCCGACCTCTGAGTGGGGGGGGGGGGGGCCGGGCCGATCAGCTGGTGATATGCTAGGCGTTTCAATTTCGGAAACTGAAAAAAATAATGTGATCCATGCCATGGTCAAGGTAAACTCATTATCCCTGATCTGACAGACCTGTGACCAGAATTTAGCAGGCCGGGGGAGGGGGGGGGGGGGGGGGGGCTGTCTTTCAAATTCAAGTGAGTGTGATCTAAAACCGGTAACTAAATCATGGGGTGCCATAAAGAATCGGTAAAGAATAAAGACGAAACTGAGGGTGCTCCATCCCCATCCTGTCCATCTCTTAGCTTCTCCCTTCATAACATTCATGTTGCATTTTCTGAGCAAACATGCTGGGTTGACGGATCTTGGAAAAGGTGTGTCACTCCAGTGGCGGATCCAGGGGGGCGGAGGGCCGGCCCCCTCCACCGGGAAAAAAGGTAAAATCACATTAATTTTACCTTTATTTGGAGACGGGCCTCCTCCTGCTCATGGGGGAGGGGGGGGGGGCGATTTTCACATGTTCAAGCAGTGGCGGATCCAGGGGGGCCGACACGGCCGCGCCCCCCCCCCCCCCCCTATTGGCGGCGCAAAAAAAAGGAAGGAAAAAAGAGGAAGAAAAGAAGAGAAAAAAGAAAGGGGAAGAGAAGAAAAAAAGGAGAAGAGAAAAGAAACAGAGAGAGAGAGATTTTTAAAAAGGGAAAAGAAAAAGAAGAACGCCCCCCCCCCCCCTCCCCTCCCTCGGAGGGACCGATTTTGTGTTCCCAAAATCCCCGATAAAGGGTTACTTTTCACTGAAAAAAGTCCGGCCCGTAATACAAAAATTCAAAAAAGGAATACGAGTCGAGAACGGTACAACGAATAGTCTTCTTTCTCTAATAATTTAATGAAACGTAAAGCGGGAGGGGGGAGGAACTGAATTCAGACAAGGATTTAGAATCGAGAATGGAACAACGAATCATCTTCTTTCTCTAATAATTTCATCAAACTATGAAAGGTCAAAGCTTCCGCGCTACGCGCGGGAGAGGGAAGCTGAGTTCAGACAAGGAATACGAGTCGAGAATGGTACAACAAATCGTCTTCTTTCTCTTATAATTTATAAAGGTCAAAGCTTCCGTGCTTCGCGCGGGAGGGGGGAGGAACTGAATTCAGACAAGGATTAAGTGTCGAGAATAGTACAACGAATCCTCTTCTTTCTCTAATAATTTCATTAAACTATGAAAGGTCAAAGCTTCCGCGCTTCGCGCGGGAGGGGGGGGGGGGGAACTGAATTCAAAGAAGGATTAAGAGTCCGGAATGGAAAAAAAAATCATCTTCTTTCTCTAATAATTTCATCAAACTATGAAAGGTCAAAGCTTCCTCGCTACGCGCGGAGGAGGGAAGCTGAATTCAGACAAGGAATACGAATCGAGAATGGTACAACAAATCGTCTTCTTTCTCTTATAGTTTATTAAGGTCAAAGCTTCCGCGCTTCGCGCGGGAGGGGGGGGGGGAGGAACTGAATTCAGACAAGGATTTAGAGTCGAGAATGGAACAACGAATCATCTTCTTTCTCTAATAATTTCATTAAACTATGAAAGGTCAAAGCTTCCGCGCTTCACGCGAGAGGGGGGGTGTGAACTGAATTCAAAAGAAGGATTAAGAGTTCAGCATGGAACAACGAATCATCTTCTTTCTCTAATAATTTCATCAAACTATGAAAGGTCAAAGCTTCCGCGCTACGCGCGGGAGAGGAAAGCTGAATTCAGACAAGGAATACGAGTCGAGAATGGTACAACAAATCGTCTTCTTTCTCTTATAATTTATTAAGGTCAAAGCTTCCGTGCTTCGCGCGGGAGGGGGGAGGAACTGAATTCAGACAAGGATTAAGTGTCGAGAATAGTACAACGAATCCTCTTCTTTCTCTAATAATTTCATTAAACTATGAGAGGTCAAAGCTTCCGCGCTTTGCGCGGGAGGGGGGGGGGAACTGAATTCAAAGAAGGATTAAGAGTCCGGAATGGAAAAACGAATCATCTTCTTTCTCTAATAATCTCATCAAACTATGAAAGGTAAAAGCTTCCGCGCTACGCGCGGGAGAGGGAAGCTGAATGCAGACAAGGAATACGTGTCGAGAATGGTACAACGAATCCTCTTCTTTCTCTAATAATTTCATGAAACATCAAAGCTTCTGCGCTTCGCGCTTGATGGGGGGGGGGGGGAGGGGACAGCGAGCTGCCCGAATGAGATTTGTTGATATCTTTTCTAGTTTATTTTGGTAATAAATAACACAAATTGCTCGCTCACTTCGCTCACTAGCCGAATTGTGAAGCCAGAAAATTACTTTTTTTTCGGTCTGCGCAATTTTCAAATTCCCGGCCCCCCCCCCCCCCCCCTATTGGAAAATCCTGGATCCGCGCCTGGTTCAAGGGCAAAAAGGGTATTTAAAAAATTACCTCCGTAATCATAATCTCCTGAATTAGATTTTTCATTTTAAATCAACACTTTCTCACAATACAAGAGGAACTCTTTTACAATAGACTTATACCATACATGCATGTGACATGACAAAATTATTCAACAGCTGAGGGAAGACATTTGAAATATATTGCTGGAGGAGGCAAAGGCGGCAAATTGGTGCGAAACACATTCACTGGAAGTATTTGAAGGGGGTCATCCCACCTGCACCTTTGAAGAAAAGAAAAAAAAATGGTATTGTAAAATGTGAATTAAGGATGTACTGATACTGAGATGGTCTGGAACAAAGGGCTTCATTTTTCAAATTGGACAATCTTCTCGCACGATCGCTCCATGCGCGCACTCTCGCATAATAAAGAAGATTGTTAAACCATTGCTATAACTATAATGCGTTAAAAAAAGATGTTGTATTACCCTTTGCACTGACGTGCTGATGGGGGGGGGGGGGGTTTGGGGTGCAGTTGATTCCCCAAATAAAATTCAAATGTGGTTTATTTGCAAGTCGATACCAATGATTTACAAATGTTCCTGAAATGACATGATTTTTCCGTTTTTTCCCTCACTTTTTCCCATTATGCCAGAGGCGGAATTCCCGGTGAGGGGGGGGGGGGGGGGGGGGGGGGAGGGGGGGGGGGGGGAGGGGGGGGGGGCTTTTTCAGGTAACCCTAAAATTTATTTTGACACGTGCCCCTTTTCCTTTCTAAAAGTACCATATGAGTGCCCCTTTTCCTTTTATTTTTATATGAGACTCTCCCCCTTTCGAAAAATGCCCCTTTTAACATCTGATAAAGGCACCTATCAAAATCTTATAGGTGCCCTTTTCCTTCAACATATTCCCCATTTCCATTCTCATAAGTGCTTTTTTTTCCATCTCTGTCGAGTGTCCTTTTTCAGGTGCACTGAAGGGCCATTTTCACCTTGATAATAACGCTTTTATTTTGACACGAGCACCTTTTCTTTTCTAACAATTGTCATTTTCCCTTTTGATAAGTGCCTATCTTTCCTTTTCCGTAACATGCACCCCTTCTTCAAGGCGACTTAGAGCCCCTTTTTATTTGATGTTTCTTAGTGCCGGTTTTTATCGGTGCAACCCCCCCCCCCCCCCCCCCCCCCATTTTGGAAGACGCTCCGCCACCCCTGCATTATGCTACTTGGCGGTGATGCGGATTTTGTTCTGACCCCAAAAAAGTTACTTCACTGGTCCTTTGCGACCGACCCAGAAATTTTGAACCCTACGGTCGGCTTTTTTACCATTTTGTAGAGAAAAAAAATGAGAAATATCAGAAGAGGGAGGACAAAAAAAAAGAAGGAAAAAAAATCCGACCTAAAGGGCAATACTAAGAGCAGGAAATGTTCCCTAGAAAGTAGAAAGTCGCCCAAAATTATTTGAAAAGTATTAAACACTACGTACCCCCTTTTATAAAAAGGAGGTGGGTACTATTCCCTACTCTGATTTACCTGTATGATCAAATATCTTCTTCAGAAAATGTAAAATTCTAGAGTAAATTTCAATGCGACATGTTTAAACAACATTGAAATGCACTCCAGTCTCCTTATTTCAGGATAGGGGCCGGGGCGGGATGTTGCACTACCCCCCCCCCCTCCACCTCCCCCGAGCCCCGCCAACAAATTGATTTATATTTAAAGGAATCCTTTTTAGCACAGCACCCTCAAAAAATTGGCTCATATTTTAGGCCTACCATTGTAAGAACATATCCCCAACATGTTCATACATCAAGCCCCTTACATTTAAAGTAACCGTCTAATTTATTGACAACAATTTTGCCAGCTAATTGACCGTTTAAAGGGAAAATCTGTATGGTTTATATACAAAAGTTTTAAGCTCCAAAAAGGTCTTCAGGATTCATAAAACGTGTCGTGGTATAGTTAGTTTTACAAAAAAGTGAGAAAAACCTTTGGAAAATTATGTCGTTTCAGCAACACTTGCAAATCACTGGTATCAAATTAGAAAGAAACCACGTATGGATTTTTATTTAGAAGGATACTACCCCCCCCCTCCAGCCCCACCATCAGTACGCCGGTGGGTACAGTGCATATGTCACTGGATTGTAAATAACATGGATAATATGACAATTTGAATAATGATAATTCTCCTTCGGAAAGATGCTTCAGGACCATCAAGCACTTTAGCCACACACTGCCCCCCCCCTCAAACAAAAATAATGAATTAGAATAAAAGAAACAAGAAACGGAATGGAAAAATAGCAAGCAGGATTCAGGTGCCCCATGTGTTAACATTTTTTTAAACAAATATTTTGCAGTATGAATTACAGGTTTGCATTTATAGTGCCAGATATATGAATACAAAATACATAGTCTATTCTTTTTTAATGAAAAAGAGCATTTTAGTATATTTTTTTACTAAATGAACCACATTTGATGACCCAATTTGGCTCTCGATTTATAAATTGTATACGATTTTCTTATTCCAGTAATAACAAAAAACGAACATCAACTTTTGAAATCACTTCTGGCAAAACCTGACAACCTTAATAAATAGTAATAATAATAATAATGATAATAATAGCCTAGGCTTCTATGGCGCATTTCATCTTCAGAGAAAATAACAATGCGCTTTACAATAATAAAACAACATAATTACACATAACTACTAATTCAACTTAAGATATATCAAAATAAGGACAAGATTAATAACCTTGTTTAGCACTTGACTCCACAACAAAACAAAGCAAACCAAATCCAACCAAATCCAACCCATCCCAACCAAACCACATCATAAATAGTTACGAAAATCAAGAGAACATCAATGTCATGTAATAATAGGAGGAATCTTAACAATAGATGGCGTACAACAGATATCACTTTTGCTGTAGTGTAGGCCTAGGTAAAGGTTACCGTACTGACAGGACCCTGGACTGGAGAATATTACCTGATCTTTGGCACTGAATTACACAGTGTAACTACAATAATTGGTAATATAGTTCTTGCTTTGTATATTATATATGTATTTAGGCTCTGTAAAGCTTAGTTTGTAGCTCTAAATTGTAGCATTTCAAGCCACAAAAAAGTTATATATTATATTCAGTCCCATATGCTCATATTCGTGTTAATCTTGGCGTCACATACTTATAATAAACATAGCCATAGGGAGGCAAATTCTCACTCGTAGCACACTGCATTACTATCCTAGCTGTGTATTAAAAGCTGTTATATTGATTCTCAACATTTCAAACATCACTGTACAAAACTCAACTAATTTCACTAAAAATCGGTACTTTAGATCTAGAGACAATTGATGACACCTTAATAAAATAGCAGTAAAGTAGAGTAAAGGAGCCGGTAATCGGCCAGCTCCAGTTTTCGGCCGATTTGTTGGATGCAAGGTAAAATCACTCTAAAATACATCGCATAATAGCACAACACATATCCCACACATACCATACCATGCCAGTGTCACTGAAGAACCACATTTGCAATGGAAAATATATCCTAAAATATCACATTTTAGCGATGTAATCGCCGGTCCCGCTACCCAAATTTGAAAAATCGAGTATCTTACGCGTGTCTGTAAGAAATATGGGTACCATAAAATGAGCTTTATTTCAAGTATTTTTCAGATTTAGAGCCCGATTTTGTGCTGGTCGCAAGCTCAAAAGTATCTCATCGCATGTATTAAATCAATGCAGCCGCACACCGCGACGCACACACGATATCTCTGTCTAATTCAGATTCCAACTTCCGATCACCGCTGTGCCTGTCTTCGGCCAGGCGAGCACTAGGGAGCTCCGGTGTGGGATACCTGCTCCGCCCGCTTGTGCTGTACTTCAGCGCGGAAACGCACGGCGCGCGCGAGCGCTTCCTATTGACTTTGTACATGCGGCCGCAAACTGAAACGCTCGGCCGATAACTGGCTCCAAAACAGTGAAAATTGAAATGAATATTGTCATGGCAATTCGTGATTTTTTTCTGGGATTCTTTTTTTGTTTAAATAATAATAATATTTGCTTCATGATTTGAACAAAAAATGATAATAAATAGGAAGTAAAGAGTCCTAAAAATAGGATTTTGTCTTAAGTGGCCGAAAACGGGCTCCTTTACTCTAGACCTAGGTCTACATTTTTTTCAACTAGATCTAGAGTAAAGGAGCCGGTAATCGGCCAGCTCCAGTTTTCGGCCGATTGGTTGGATGCAAGGTAAAATCACTCTAAAATACATCGCATAATAGCATAACACATATCCCACTCATACCATACCATGCCAGTGTCACTGAAGAACCACATTTGCAATGAAAAATATATCCTAAAATATCACATTTTAGCGATGTAATCGGCGGTCCCGCTACCCGAATCTGAAAAATCGAGTATTTTACGTGTGTCTGCAAGAAATATGGGTACCATAAAATGAGCTTTATTTCAAGTATTTTTCAGATTTAGAGTCCGATTTTGTGCTAGTCGCAAGCTCAAAAGTATCTCATCGCATGTATTAAATCAATGCAGCCGCACACCGCAACGCACACACGGTATCTCTGTCTAATTCAGATTCCAACTTCTGATCACCGCTGTGCCTGTCTTCGGCCAGGCGAGCACTCGGGAGCTCCGGCGTGGGATACCTGCTCCACCCGCTTGAGCTGTACATCAGCGCGGAAACGCACGGCGCGCGCGAGCGCTTCCTATTGACTTGTACATGCGGCCGTAAACTGAAACGCTCGGCCGATAACTGGCTCCAAAACAGTGAAAATTGAAATGAATATTGTCATGGCAATTCGTGATTTTTTTCTGGGATTCTTTTTTTGTTTAAATAATAATAATATTTGCTTCATGATTTGAACAAAAAATGATAATAAATAGGAAGTAAAGGGTCCTAAAAAAAGGATTTTGTCTTAAGTGGCCGAAAACGGGCTCCTTTACTCTAGATCTAGTCTAACTCAGTAATTTACTAGTGTAGTCTAGTCTAGTGTCAAATTTGCCTATCAGCCACATCGGTTCTATTGTGTGCAGTCTATGCAATAGTGTGTGGTGTGTGTATTTCTGTATTATACCTGCCTCTCAGCAAGTATGCAGTGCTAGAGGTCAATAGGCATTAGCATTGACTCTATGCTTCGCTGGAGTGTGTAATACAAAGTTTGCCGCTAATTCAGAATCATATCCGTACTCTGGCTTGGAGATACCCTACTATAACATACCAAAAATCAACTCAATCTTCATCAATCAGTAGGGGCGCTGCTTCGAGAATAAAGATTGTCTGCTTAAACGAGGATCGTCTTCGTAAACGCGGACAGATGCGTCCGCAAAAATAAGGATCTTCTGCATTTTCGCAGACGTTTTATATTTCCGATCGGCGCTTTGAGCGATGTGAAAAAACGGATTCCGCAATGATTTTACATGGACTTTGTACACAGACTTTCAGTTTATGAGCGATAAATCATTGGGAAAACGGACAACCCATAAAAGGAGACGGTTAACTAGGCTTATTTTCACCCGCAGAGCGCTGATGAAAAAAAAAAAGGTCTGCGAAAATGCAGAGGATCCTTATTTTTGAGGACGCATTTTGTCTGCGTTTACAAGAATATCCTCATTCATGAGGACGATCCTCATTCTCGGACCAGCCCCCTACTGTCAATTGTTCAAATAATGGTCAAGATTAAAAATTTGTTATGTTTCTTTCTTGTTTCGTGTAAATTTTCTTATCTTTTTTAGAGTATTTTTCCTTAAAAAAAGAAGACTTATGATGTTCACTTTCTCACAGGATTCACGGCAAACTGCTGCACAATACAATTGCAAACCATACCGATGGTTGGGTGCAGGCGCGCGCGCTCTATATAAAGTTAACGACCGTAATGATGAATTGCTCACATGAATTTAATGAGGATCTGAGATTACATTCGGTAACTTCAGTCCCGCCCCCCCACTCAGTGTTATTTAGGGTACGCGTATGCATGTTCCCTCCCTTTGAAAGCACTCTCCTAAGTCCGGTGTATAAGGTCAATACGGGCCAATTTTTTTTGTGTATTACGAGCCTGACTTTGTTGCATGAAAAATACCCCTTTACCAGAGATTTTGGGAACATGAATGCAGTCCCTTCGTTTCTGTAGTGGTGGGGGGGGGGTGGGCCTATAGTCCTTTACAAATTTTTAGGTTGCCAAATGACAGTTTAGGTGGTTACAGTGAATATGTGAAAAGATATCTTATGCGCGAGGACTTACGTAAGTATTATATTATTAGGTATCTACCACAATCTAAGCTTTGATTTCATACATGTACCTCCATTCACAAAATTGAAATTATACAATAGGCTTGCCGGTGCAGCATGTGTGAGAGAGAGAGAGAGAGAGGATTGAGGAGTCCTGAATAGGACTCTTGGTAATCTTCTCCTGACGACGGATAGTCAACCTGTTCAAAACGTCAAGCCACTCCCACCACTCATCATCTTCAAGCACTATAGTTCTCCTGAGAACTATAAGCTATGAAAGATAACCAACAGTCTTTTTCAAGACTACACAAACGGTCCATTTCAGGACTACACACCCTCAAGAAAGATTACAGAGAATCCTTTTCAAGACTCCTCAATCCTCTCTCTCTCTCACACATGGTGCACCCGCAAGCCTATTGTATATCTACATGTACATCACCATGCAAGTCGATACTTGCAAGCAGCATCTATATTGAAATTGCGGCAATAATGATGTAAACAGCTGGCAATTTCAAAGTTTTGTGAGGCGGCTGGATGCAAATTTCTATGGCTCTGCAGCTACCCTAGCTCAGCTACTGCATGCTGGAGTGGATTCCACTTAGAGTCAAGTCTCTTTGACTCTCTAGGTTTCGGCTGACAGCAGTGGCACTGCTAGCTAGTGCTGTGCGTTTTCTACAGGCAGTGTGCAACTAAGCTGTCACATTGATTTTCTCTGATTTTCTTGTGAAAACTTTACTTTTAAAAAAGATTATAAAAATTCAGTAAAAATGGTCAGAATTTCAAGATCTAAGCATTGATTTCACACCTCTATTCACTAAAACTGTATAAGAATTGTGGCAATCATGATGGAATTAGATTGCAATTTTGAGTTCCATGATTGCCTACAATCTAACAGTTTTACAAATCGTCTAGTTTCGACTAATGATCCATCAAAAGTCAAATGAAATCGACCACCAAAAATTTGGTCCCTATGCTCCGTTTTGCATCTGCTTTTACATATGCATAACATGGTAAAGTATGGATCAAGTTTTATTATTTAGAACCAAATTTGTGTACCCAGTATACAATATTAAGCGGTTTATGATTTATATAGGTGTTTTTTTTTTTTTGAGGGGGGGGGGGGGGGGTGGCAGGTTGCCACCTGGGCACCCAAGACTGGACTTTGAGGTTGCCCGGTGGCGTTTTAGGTGTTCAATGGAACCTGGGCAATTGCTAATTTTGAGCCTTGATATATGCCATCCTACAACTTAAACAAATTCAACTACAATATTCAATGGTCATTGTCGCGGTTGAAATTGAGTCTAAAGAGTAATTTAAAGTGATGAAATTGTGAAAAATAAACGCTTATCATTTTTATGTTGTATAGATCTAGCTCCTTCTCAAGATTGATATTACTGTAGTTTCAAAACAATGTTTCTTGCCTCAAACCAACTGATTTTCTTTTCCTGTTTGGAAATTTTATATCAAAAGTGCATATTCAGAGATTTTCATGGTCGTAGCTACCATTGTATGGCTGTACATGTGTAGGTACTATTTGAAATTTATCAGGAGCACCAATGAATTATATATTTTTCAATTTCTCAAAATTCCTAGGGCTTTAGAGCCAAATTTTTCAAATTTGCTTATTCTAATGAAACAGGACTTTACCATTGAGAGGGCTGGTGGCCGCTGGTCGCCTCGCCCCAGGCTCGCCCCAAGAAGATGCAAACGATGAATGAAGATTCAGACAAAACAAAAATGGCAGCAACTAAAACTGTCAATTGAAGAACTGCAAAAAAAGAACTGCTGACCAGTACAAGACCCTATCATTTTTATACCTTCCAAACAAAGAAACCCACGTGGCCAAAAGCCCCGTCTCTCAAAAAGCTCTCCCTGGCTCGGATAAGCGTTGGCCTAGACAGTGCCAGGTGACCAGGAATTTTTTTTTTTGTGGCCGAATATTCGAGTACGAGAAATTGTACTTGAGTAGTTGTCAACAGTGCGGGTACTCGAGCATTCGACTACTCGTCGCAGCCCTACTCTTTATCACCATTTCTCTCTCTCTGCTGATCTAATACCTCAACCTCCTCCCTCGCAACCCAAACTACTCCCTCGCATAACTCACACTCTCACCTGCTCTAGCTCTTTCAAAACAACAATATCTGGTTTTGTATGAATACAAAATAGATCCCCTACTTAAATATGAGCATGACAGAACTAGAATGCTGTAAATACATGTATGCTCAAAAGTATTCATTTTACTTCTACCGGTAATTAACATTCAGTGTGTATTATTACAAGAAATGTCTTTTTGATTTCTTTGATCAGATCCAGTTTGATGAGATGAAGATAGCAGCATGAATTGGCTACAAAGGAACGTGACTGTTGAGCCAGTCTTATTCTTCTATATGCTGGGATCCTTCATGCAATACCTGGCCTTGCAACAGCTCCTCATAGAAAAGGTGTGCTTCCAAGAAATCAATGACACTGTCATCTGTGCCAACTTATCAGCATACACAGATGAGAACAAGATTGTTCAGACAAGGACGTCCTACTGGCTGATAGTGCTCAATTTGGCTTTAACTGTGCCTTCTGTGCTTTCCACTCTAGTGATTGGAGCCTGGACGGACAAAGTCGGAAGGAGAGTAGCCATGGTGTTACCTTCTTTTGGAGCAGCTTTGAATGGTGTTTGCTTGATTTTGAGTACCATCTACCTGGAGCTTTCCATAGGAATCATGGTCTTAGGGTCAGTGCTACTGGGTCTACTTGGAGCGTATGCAACGGTCCTAGCAGCAGTGTTTAGTTACCTAGGTGATATTACCAAAGAGAGAACACGCACTAGAAGGTTTGGATTCCTAGAGGCAATGACCTTCGCAGGTAGTTTTGTTGGATTGCTGACATGTGGCCTAATCATTGACAACCTTGGCTATGTGGCAGTATTCATCGTCTACATCTCCTGCAACGCTGTGGTAGTCCTCTATGTGCTGCTGTGGTTAATAGAATCTAGCAGTTATGTCGCAAGCCAGGGTTCCTATACCACCCCCAAGGCAACCAATGATGCGCTCCGATCAGGAGAAACAGAACCTAGTGGAACCGATGAAGTTGTTCCCAAGTTAGAAGAGGAAAGAAGATGGTCCTGCAAGAGATCATGTGTACAGCTATGTCAGTTACAAAGTATAGGCAAGTCTTTTCTGACTGTGGGTAGACAGCGACCAAACAAACAAAGAGTACAGCTCCTCCTACTGCTCTGCTGCCTATTCACTTTCCAGCTTGTCGGCACAGGTAGGAAACATCAAGAGTTTTCTTTAATGTTGTGTTATGTGTGAATATATTGTAGACTACTCTATACATGTACATGTAGGTGATTGAAAATGTGGCGCATTATCTGTATAGTGTCGAGCATTATATCACCTGTATCTCCATTTGCATTTAAATGACGCAACACCCTTTGTTATTTGCCAAGCTCAAAGTCAAAATATATATGATTTTTTTTTATTATTAGGAACTCACATAAAAAGTGGTGAGAAATCGGTGAGAAATTTCATTCTGTCAGGTTAACAGCATTATTGTTTATTGGATTGTGTGCAATACTAGATTCAAGGAAAATAAAATAAAAACATGTCTTGATTTGTCAGGCTGTGTAAGAGGTCACTTGCTAAGTTTGTATCCTGTCTTGAAACACACTGTGCCACTAATTGACCACTGACCAGCCATATCTCCCTGGCTTCAAACAGACTTCTTGAATGTCATCTTGTTTATGGCCTTGAAACGGTCAAGTTAAGAGTTGTTTTTAGCAGAGGTCAGTTCTTGAAACAGAATACTCCGGTCTCTCTCTACCCTCTGTGACACTCCTTTTCTTTTATCATTTTAATGCTGACCAAAGCATTGACTAGTGGGTGTCCGATTATGAAACGTGATCATCCTACAATAATAATTTTAGACAATTGTTATGCACCTTTATGCAGGTTGTTCACACACAGAGCAAGGCATTGTTATTGTTTTAACACAGATCCACACAAAGGAATAATAGTCCATAGAAATCTTCATTTCCTCCAACACTTTACATTATTTATTTCAGAATTCAAAGTTGAAATAATTTAGAGATGTTATCCTTTTAGCCGTCCCCGCTCCCTCATTGCATCATATTTTTGTAATGTTCCTGAGAGACCTATATCTTAGAAGTAGTGACTGCTTTATTTTAGCTCCTACTTTACTTTAATAATATACAAACAAACATGTAATACTTCATGAATGTTATGATTAATACCAGTATTATCAGATTCTAATATTTAGGGTTTCCTTGATCCATATATATGGATTCTAATCAAAATGTGTGAGATGACATGGGACATCGTCTGCTTGTGCAAATCATGCCCCAACCTGTGATGTCACACATCTTAGCAGTGTTCAGAGAGCTCTTCAGGTGCTATTCCGGGGCTGTATTTAAGCATTTTGTAATTGATAATAATCATTACTTCATATGTTTCCAAGTATTCAATTTTGATAAAATTGTCAATTCAAAGTTTTACCTGCACAATAATGACAATAAGGTTAGTTTTTAATATCTTCGCACAGCTCTCCTAGGGACTTGGTAATGAGGATTATTGCCTTCTCAAAGGGCACTAAGCACATTGATTTGGTTTTGAACCTGGGACCTCCAGGTTTCCAGGCCACTGAGCCATTGTGCCTCCGGCAAAATGAGACAAAAGAATTTATAAAAACTATAATTTACTGTTCATCTGAAATGTTGAAAGTCGCAATCACTGATGGTATCTCTTGCCAATGCTAGCTGCCATGATGGCTGATGAACTAATGGAAAAACACAACTCAAATAAGACTTTTTTCACAATTATTATGGTGGAAAAGATGGTGGACAAGTAAAAGTATTATTTACCACTCCTAATTCATTGAAAATATTCTGTTGAATTACTAAAATGGGAAAAAGGAGATACTTGTATTTTTTAATACTTGGTGTAGAATTTCGCATTTTAAAGCACGCTACTGTACTATAACTTCGCAGAATTTCTTTTCATCATTTTGGAGTAGAAGAATGTGGCTATTTTAGCAACAAGATGAGACTTGTAATAGTTTGAATATTGCCATATCTGCCACGAAATAAAACATCAAAAATATAGAATAGCTCACACATGCATAGAATGTATATTGGTGGAGGTTTTGAGAAGAACATTTGAGAGCAATGAACCTTGTATGATCACACATGAGGTCAAAGCTGTCATTGTTTTCTTATGCTACTTAGTTTTGATTACCATCCATTTCACCATTTCACCCAGACTCTCTCTCTCCCTCTCTCTCTCTCTGTGGCTTTCTTTCAACAGGTGAAAACGATACAACAGTCCTGTATCTGAAGAAAGCTCCGCTATCATTTACATCTTCCCAAATCTGTGAGTATTACACCAAATCAAAAGTGAAATATAATCCTGGCATGCAATGGCAAGGACCCAGGCTTTGTAACTATTTGTTTTGCGAGCTAAATCAAGAGGTCATGATCAAGTTGAATGAATGAATGAAAGAGGAATGAAAGAGGAATGAGTGCAGGAGACAGCTCTTCTCATTTACTTTGCTCAAGTTCACAAGTTATTTTGGAACAGCTGCTCAGTGAAAAGAAGATATCCTTGAGTTGAGGGTCTAGTTGCATTCTGATGTGCAGGCCGGGAGCATGCATACACTCTATGATAAATCATCCCAGCCATATGCATTACCTGGTTTTCTTTGAATGTTATTTGATTACGGTAAAACGTTCATGTAGTTTGACCTTGCATGACTATTACTTCCATGTTAAATGCTTTAAAAAGAAAGTTATTACCAGAATTTTGACTTTGATGTAATCAGTGCTACCAGGTTTTGTGGATTAATGGCTCTTTAACTTAGTGAGTGGATATAATGTACATGTACATGTATCGGTATGCAAAAAATAATTGGAAATCATGATTTTTCACACAAAAAATATAATGGATAATTTTTTAAGGCACCATCATTTTGATACAAGTGAACTATTATGTCACGACTTCATGTTCTTGCATAAACTCATGGCCAAAGAAGTTGTTTTTCTCGGAATGCCTGCAATAGAAATATTGCGTTTTGTGACGAAACTCTTCAAATGATCTTGTAAATTGAAGTTCTAAGAACGTTAAATGCATGCATGCAGGCACTATATGTATGGAGGAAATTTAATATTAAACAATATTTTGGACGATCCGTCATCAAGTAGCAAAAGTCTGAAATGTTTTTCTTGGATATTCAGTTGTTATACTGAGGACTTATAGATTTGCACGTTCATTAGTAGACTGCTACGTATGCGGCCATTTTTTAAGCAGAGTTGATGATGCATGCTGACTGTTGTTTGTTACCTTTTTCATTTCACACAATGACGACGATCAGTGACGTCATGCATATGTTCGCGCTCGCACGATATTTGATCGAAAAGCTAAAGATCTAACACCAAATTCGGTGCACGGGACTGTACTTGATAATTGTGCTGCAGCAACTTGGTGATGCATAAATAAAATGTGTTCATTTTATGGATTAATCTGCAACGCATTTAATTTGAGGAAAATTACAGACAAGAGAATGCGTTTTTAGAGAATGTTAGAGAGCTTACTGTTCCGCAATTCTCCGTTTGCAGAATTAGGTCAATTTGGTCCATTTTGTGACTTCAATGTGCTGTTTCATATCTACAGAATATTGCTTACGAACTGTACCGTCACAGATTTAGAACGACGGCAAAACAAGGGTGAACGCTTTCGAGAATTCTGCTACGAACGATGAGCTCATCGATGCGCAGGCCCACTGCTTAAAAAATGACCGCATACATCGCAGTCCACTAGTGAACGTGCAAATTGAAAAGTGCCGAATGTTTGGTTTGGGCAGGTGTTGATTTCATCATTGTGGTTGTGGTAGAAGGCTCGGTGATACCTTCATTGAGATGAGGTCAAGATGTTGAAATGATGAGGTTATGTTCATTAATAAGTATAGGACGAGCATCCGTAGCAAAGTAAGCATACTATGCCAAAGCTAGGGTAATAGTTTCCAAACTTCCTTTAAAGGACTTTATCACTGTCTGACAGGGAACAAAATACTTAACAAATTTCGGGGGCTACTTTTCAAGCTTGCATGAAAAATTGAAAATAACACTCTTTAATTTGTTTTGCATTGAACTCTATGCAAATTTTGGGGCGCTCTTTAATGACTTTTAGGGGCTCTTTTTGGCATTTCGGGGGCTAATTCGCCCTGAGCCCCATGTATTTTTTTCACACTGTTTTCACATAATGTGATCAGTGCTATGAACGGTTTATTACTTTTATTGTTATTTGCTAGCTCTCATATTTTTAGATGCAAAACCTGTAATACCGGTAGTGTAGTGTGATAATATGATAGTATTACGTACAAGTACATGTATGTAACAACTTTGGCTGACATTCTAATTCAAAGTAGTTAATTGCATAAATTGTGATTTTGCCTGTCTTTCCTTTGTAGCATACTACTCTGGTTGTAAGAGTGGTCTTCAGAGTCTGATGCTGTTGACAGCCATGCCTCTCCTGCATCTATGCGGTGTCCATGATTGCTTCATAGCATTAGGTGCCCTGTGCTTCAGGATGAGTGGTTATGTGGTCTTTGGTCTTGCAAGGACACTCTGGCAAGTTTTTACAGGTAAGCTAATGCACCTCAATCAATAGGCACGTCTTCATCATCTCGAGATTGCCAAATAGCCCGCTATTTCTGATTTGGGAAATAATCCTGAAGTTACAAATCACGCCTTCATCAGCTCAAGATTCAACCTCGAAACTCGACCTTGAGAAATTAGCTCGAGATATTTTGCTCAGCGTTCGCGCATAGTGCGAGTCTTTGGTCTGGTGAGGATGCACCGGACAAATAGCTGGATATTTTGCAAACTATCCCAAGATATCTTGGGATGACAATCCCGACCAAATATCCCGCTAATTGCAACCTTGGGCTAATGAAGACGCAAATTAACTGGATAGTTTGCGATCGGGATAGTTCAAATAGCGGGATATTTGGCAAAAGTGAAGACAGGCCTATTGTTACCTCTGTTAGTTTGTTTGGGGGCCATTATCTTGTATAATTGTCTCTTCTCAGAAGGTAGGTTAATAATTTCCTTTGAAGAATTGCTGGGCCTGATTATGTGTGTTGAAAGAGACTTCATAGAGTACACAGTGTTCTTCTGTTTATGATGTTGTTTGATATAAAAAAATTAAAGATATTGCTAGTCCTCATTGGTAAGGAAACATACTAGACAGTGCCATTTGAATGATGGTATTGTGATATTTAAAAGGCCTTTTTTGTTGGTATGGATAGGATAAGAACATGAATAAACTCAACCATTATTATTTCAACATTTTCAGGTTAAAACGAAAGTTAAAAAACGAAAGTTAAAAAAGGAAAGTAAAGCTATCAGGTATGAGGTTTGATTTTGTCAATGTCCTCTTAATCATAGAATTGTTTCAAAATGAGATTAGCCTGATTAATAATTTTTTGTGAATCAACTAATATTGGTGGAGAATAGAGACCACCTAGTCAGAAAGCAGGCCTCACCCATGGCGCATCACTATCAAGCTTTCTCTACCAGTGAATACCTGCTGTAATTAGGATGATAACATAAGCCAAACATTGGTCTCTATTACACCTTGGTGTCATAGAGTGCGTGGCAAGGAGGTCAAAGGTCAACCAACACATATTTATTCAGGTTTTTCATGATGTTGATGCCACACCTACCGGTATGTTGCTATGTTATGATTGGCATTCTTGTTTCCTCCTGAGGAATAGAATCTACGAAGAACATGTATTCAGGAGGAGAAGGGGTAATAAAGGATTAAAACATTGGGAGGGAGATGTATTGAGGGCAAGAAGGGATAATAAAGGATTAAAACATTAGGAGCAAGATTTATTCAGGAGGAGAAGGGGTAATAAAGGATTAAAACATTAGGAGCAAGATTTATTCAGGAGGAGAAGGGGTAATAAAGGATTAAAACATTAGGAGCAAGATTTATTCAGGAGGAGAAGGGGTAATAAAGGATTAAAACATTAGGAGCGAGATTTATTCAGGAGGAGAAGGGGTAATAAAGGATTAAAACATTAGGAGCAAGATTTATTCAGGAGGAGAAGGGGTAATAAAGGATTAAAACATTAGGAGCAAGATTTATTCAGGAGGAGAAGGGGTAATAAAGGATTAAAACATTAGGAGCAAGATTTATTCAGGAGGAGAAGGGGTAATAAAGGATTAAAACATTAGGAGCAAGATTTATTCAGGAGGAAAAGGGGTAATAAAGGATTAAAACATTAGGAGCGAGATTTATTCAGGAGGAGAAGGGGTAATAAAGGATTAAAACATTAGGAGCAAGATTTATTCAGGAGGAGAAGGGGTAATAAAGGATTAAAACATTAGGAGCAAGATTTATTCAGGAGGAGAAGGGGTAATAAAGGATTAAAACATTAGGAGCAAGATTTATTCAGGAGGAGAAGGGGTAATAAAGGATTAAAACATTAGGAGCAAGATTTATTCAGGAGGAGAAGGGGTAATAAAGGATTAAAACATTAGGAGCAAGATTTATTCAGGAGGAAAAGGGGTAATAAAGGATTAAAACATTAGGAGCGAGATTTATTCAGGAGGAGAAGGGGTAATAAAGGATTAAAACATTAGGAGCAAGATTTATTCAGGAGGAGAAGGGGTAATAAAGGATTAAAACATTAGGAGCAAGATTTATTCAGGAGGAGAAGGGGTAATAAAGGATTAAAACATTAGGAGCAAGATTTATTCAGGAGGAGAAGGGGTAATAAAGGATTAAAACATTAGGAGCAAGATTTATTCAGGAGGAGAAGGGGGTAATAAAGGATTAAAACATTAGGAGCAAGATTTATTCAGGAGGAGAAGGGGTAATAAAGGATTAAAACATTAGGAGCAAGATTTATTCAGGAGGAGAAGGGGTAATAAAGGATTAAAACATTGGGAGGGAGATGTGAATAGAGGAGGTCAATGCCTAGAGTAAGTCTAATGTGCGCAGATGAAGATTTTTTTTGTCAAGGAAAAAAAAAATCACAAACTGTAAATATGAGGATATACATGTACACGTACTACTGCAGCCTTAACAGGCATAGTCAAAGGAGGAAGAATTATCAATTCTAAAGGAGAGGAGCCAAACAGAGAGAGAGAGAGAGAGAGAGAGAGAGAGAGAGAGGGAGATGGAGCGAGGGAGGTTGATTCACACAAATAATGTTTATTTCTTTTTTTTAAATAGTTGGTCAAAATCATTTTTCCATAAGTTTGATATATTCTTTTGTGTTTGTCTACCTTATTTAATTAATCCTAATTATTTATTTATTATCTTAATTATTGATTCAATACTTTTTCCTCTTTGAAGGTTATTGCACCTTAAATAAGTTCCACATTTATTGCATCATGTACATGTACAGTGTAGGTGTATTTTCATAGCAAGGGTATTCACAAAATGATGTGGTTGTGTAATCATCTACTGAATGGTACTTATGGCATGATTATACAATAAAGGAAATATTAGAGTGCATATACTCGATTGTACAAACTGTACGTGGAATGCTGGTAACAAACCAGACAAATTTTGCTACAATTACACCTGGGAGATGTTTCACAAAGACTAAGATTGACTTTGAGTTGGACTTAACTATGACAGGCCATTCATGCCACTGGTTGCTCTCACCATTGTTATCTTTAGAAAATATTTTTCCTTCAATAATGAATCATCAAAAAATGTAAATTCTGCAGATTTGTGACCATCATTGTACATTGTACGTCCCTTAAGAGACCATGGTGGGAGCAAACAGTGGCATGAATGGCCTACCATAGTTAAGTCCAACTTAAAGTCAATCTTAGTCTGTGTGAAACACCCTCAGTAATGCTATACATGATACATGAATAAGGATCTTTGTAAAATTTTCTAAAATAGGATGATTAATTTTTCAGTGCCACTAATTTTTGCTGATGTTATTTTGCAGAACAAACTACCTTCTTTTTACCACTTTCCATTTACTGTTGGTGAACCCACACGTGACTTATTTTGTAGACTTTAGTACTGCCTTTAATTTGTTGTGAAACTATTTTATTTTTGTTTTAGTTGCATTTCTGTTGTCTCCATCTGGTATGCCTGCTGCTACTACCCGCTCTATGATGTCAAAGATAGTGGTCCCATCTGAACAAGGTAAGAAGCTCTATTCCCACCAACAACAAAAAATATTCTCTCTTGAAAAGAATATAAGATAGAACCTCGTAGCAAATTATTAACAAATCATAAGCTATAACTACAATTACAGTTACCTTATTTCTTTATTGTCTTAGGGTTTAATTTCCTTTTACAAACAGTATTGGAGAAAAGTATTGGGTAGGGGGGGGGGGAAGTATTGGGGAATAGTATTGGAGAGGGGGGGGGGGATAGTATTTGGGAGGGGGTGGGTAGTATTGGGGAATAGTTTTGGGGAGGGGTAGGTAGTATTGGGAATAGTTTTGGGGAGGGGGTGGGTAGTATTGAGGAATAGTTTTTTGGGAGGGGGTGGGTAGTATTGGGGAATAGTTTTTGGGAGGGGGTGGGTAGTATTGGGGAATAGTTTTTGGGAGGGGGTGGGTAGTATTGGGGAATAGTTTTTGGGAGGGGGTGGGTAGTATTATAGTATTAATGACTGCTTTGAGAGAAATGGTTGTTTTTATACGCTCAAGGGAAGGTTAGCCGAGGGCAATAGCCCAATTGTAACCTTCCCGAGAGCGTATAAAAACAACTATTTCTCGAATATTAAAGCAGTCATTAATACTTTTATATGCCGAAAACAAAAGAGTCAACTAATGACACCACCTTGGCCTTTCTCTAGTTTATCTGCACGGTTGTTTTTTATGAGTGTATCTTTGAGAGTAGACTAGATCTAGATTCTAGTCTAAGCAAGATATTTTTACAATTTTGGGGGTGGGCCGGCCCTGTGGGGAATATGGAGAAGAACCTGCGCTTTCATATGACACCTCACTTATTGAGTATCACCTTCAGGATCACAACAGATAAAGGTTTGAATCTCGAATTGAAAAAAAAAACTTGACTTTTTTTGCATGGTCGCGCAATGCACGTAGACTGCATAGAGACTGCATTGCGTGCAATCTCTATGGGAAGAATTTTTGTACACAACATCGGGTGCGCGATCAGACACCCTGACTACTAGATCTATTTTCGTCTACGTCTATGCTGGTACTCCATTTTCAGCAACTAAACGAACATGTTTATGGATAATTTCACGTACCCTTTTTGTTGTTCTTGCTGTCAGTGAGTCTTGCAGTTGAAATCTTGGGAGAGTTTCTTTAGTCATTTTTGTCTTGTTTTGAATTGTCTTGTCTTGTATGAAAATACCGACCAATTCTTCGCACACGTACGGTATCCTCGATCGCTCAAACCATTTTTTAACACGTAAAACTTTGGGTAACCATGGTTACTGGGATTTTAGAACTATTTTTACATGGGTTTGGAATTTTACCGGGAATTTTACAGGAATAGTTAAAGTTTATGAATGCAATTTCGACCAATCAGATGGCTAGATTTCTTAAGTGAGGTATATAATGGGGAATAGTTTTTGGGAGGGGGTGGGTAGTATTGGGGAATAGTTTTGGGGAGGGGGTAGGTAGTATTGGGGAATAGTTTTGGGGAGGGGGTGGGTAGTATTGGGGAATAGTTTTGGGGAGGGGGTGGTTAGTATTGGGGAATAGTTTTGGGGAGGGGGTGGGTAGTATTGGGGAATAGTTTTTGGGGAGGAGGTGGGTAGTATTGGGGAATAGTTTTTGGGAGGGGGTGGGTAGTATTGGGGAATAGTTTTTGGGAGGGGGTGGGTAGTATTGGGGAATACTTTTGGGGAGGGGGTGGGTAGTATTGGGGAATAGTTTTGGGGAGGGGGTGGGTAGTATTGGGGAATAGTTTTTGGGGAGGGGGTGGGTAGTATTGGGGAATAGTTTTTGGGAGGGGGTGGGTAGTATTGGGGAATAGTTTTTGGGAGGGGGTGGGTAGGATTGGGGAATAGTTTTTGGGAGGGGGTGGGTAGTATTGGGGAATAGTTTTTGGGAGGGAGGGGGTGGGTAGTATTGGGGAATAGTTTTTGGGGAGGGGGTGGGTAGTATTGGGGAATAGTTTTTGGGAGGGGGTGGGTAGTATTGGGGAATAGTTTTTGGGAGGGGGTGGGTAGTATTGGGGAATAGTTTTTGGGAGGGGGTGGGTAGTATTGGGGAATAGTTTTTGGGAAAAGTATTATGGAAGATTAGGGTCAATGTGAACACTGCCATCAGATGATCTCTGATGTTCAGTCAATGTCCTAGCCTCTTATCATAACCTACACATATTGTGACATCTGTACAGTTCTGTTTTGACATAAAACATTCCCAGCAGTGGGGGTAGTACCTTGGTAGTACCCATTGAAAGTGAAAATAAACACTTTTATGAGATGACAAACACCTGAATAGCTCTAATACATTAACCATGGTCATTGATGACGGTCTTGATGAATGGGTATGGTCAGGAGGACAATGAGATTGTTTTCTTGTATCTTCTGCCCACACATTGTGATGTATTTTATTGCACAATCTGGTGAGAACTGTCATGTTTGTGGTGATAGATGAAACACTACCAAACATTCAAACTGCCATCACCAGTAAATCACTTTATGTCTAAAAATATAGTGAACAAGAATGCTTTTCTTTTACTTTTATTTTTTCTTTCTCTCTTTGCATTCCAAGGGGGGGGGGGCGGGCAAAGAAATTGATATGTAGAAAGTATTTGTTGAAAAAAAGAATAAAAGTCTGATTACCTAACAGCATTGCTCAGAGTGAATTTAACACCTCTATATTGCAATAATTTTGATTAGTATGAAACTTGAATTACCTAAAAAGAATATGACAAAGGATGTATGATGAGCCATTCAATTTATTAGATCACACATGTATTCCTTGCTGAATGAAAAGATTTAAGAGTGTACTATAGTAGTGTACCAGAATGAAATAAACCTTTTTAACTTCCAAAGAGTAAGAGAGTGCCCTTTTTTCATTTTGAAGACAATAATTATGCAATGTTATGTATGTTAGGTGTACATTGAAGTATCAAACATCTTAAGCAGTACGTGTACTCATCTTGATTTGTAGAAGGATATTACTTTGTGTTCAGAGCTTTTGGTATTTATAAGATTCATAATGTTTGAGATAATTAGCGTATTTCACCATTAACCAAGCTTTATGTCTTAATTTGTTTTAATGACAGGAAGTTTGTTTGCCCTGACTGCAGCCCTTGAAACGATCACTGGAGTATTAGCATCTCTTATCTTCAATGCCCTCTATCCAGCTACTCTAGATATTATGGGAGGTGGACTCGTCTTTATTATCATGGCAGCTTGTCTCATTCTACCTGCCTTGCTACTCATGTAAGTCTATCACATTTATTTGATGAATCTTTGTAGTCCTATGCCCTCTTGCACAGATATTGTGTGCATTTTGATATTTGAATAGAAAAATTATTAGGAGTTAATAATCTAAGCACAATGCCACATACAATGAGTCAGTTTCTGTAGGTTTCAACTTATGATTTTTGATTTCTTTCATTTGCTTTTGAGCTTTATGCAGTGGTTTGAAATTCAGGTAAAGGTTACCTTTATTACACTTTATTATTTTGTGTGTGCACAATTTCAAATGTAAAAAAATGATTTAATTTGTGGAGTGCCAAGGGTCATACTCCTCATCCAGTAAAAATTATCTTAGTTATGTGACTCAATGAACAAACATAAATCATGTCAACATGAAATCAATTTCTCATTTTATGTTATAAATAGATTCATTTTTCTTCATTCTTCATTAAAAGAACTTGACCCTTGGCACTCCATAGATTTCTTGACTAAGTTTAAAAAAGTTTTTGCGTGTGTGGGCTTCTGTGTGTGTGCGTATGTGTGTGTGGGTGGGTGTCTGTGGGTGTGCGTGTGTGCTTGACATTGATGGGATGGTGGATACCAGATGATGACTAGTATCGCATTCCAAAGAAAAGATGATGGTGGTGGAGCGAGCCTTGAGGGATGACATGTGTGTTGGTAGAGAGCAGATAGAAGTGACAGGATGAATGCAGAGAGCCTCTGGCTACATCTCCAATACTCTTCCTAGATGAAGATGACAAAGGGAATGACATGGGAGTGAAGGTCTAGTTTGAAGTGACGATGGGAGATGAAGGCTTTGTTGAGTAATTTAGATGACATTTAGCCAAGTGCAGTAACCTTTAAGCAGGTTCCTATTCTATCCTGGATGAAGAATGACAAATGTAGATTAATGCCTTGATAAAAGACATGGCTGGTATTCAAACTCTAGAACCATCAGGTGATCCACCACACTCGGTCTGTTGACTTGTTCACTAAATCACACCCTTTGAAATTGCAATGTTTAGAATGCTGCTCAGTGGCTGCCGGGCTCACGATCAATTGGGCAAAAAGAATTTCCGTTTCGGTTTAATAAAATTTGGAGTGGACTATTAGGCTATTATTATTATTATTATTATTGTTAGTTATTTGTATTATTCTTTTGAGCCCAGCATCTTGTATAGTGAACTCCTTTATACATGTACATCCTTCTACCTGGTGGTTACAAAGTACATGTTATAATTGTGTTTTGTCATATTCTTGTTTGCTTCTTTGCTTTTCTTGTGTTGTTATTTTGTCATACTCAATTTGAAATATTTATCATTTATCTTAATTTAACATTTTTTAAATAAAGGGTTGTTATTGCTGTTGTTTATTTATTTTTGCTCAAAATGAAAGAGCAAATACCTGTACCTATTTCAATTAATTCTTCTGTCAAATTGAAACCTTTAAAATTTTAGATTTCTTTTTCCCCACAAAGATCATGATAAATTTCATATCATGTTCAGATACTCTCCCTTCCACTTTACACGTAGGTATGAATTTTTTCTCTTTCTTTTCTCACTCTTTTTTAATATACTTGAAACTCACTGGTATAGAGAAAATATTTGGGTCTATCTCTATTGCTCTCTGTGTCTTTCTGTGTGTGACTCTTTGTTACTATCTACATGTAGAGTTCTAGACCTGTTTCATGTGTGTATCTTAATCTACATGTATCTCGGGGGGGGGGGGGGGGGGGGAATACATGGGGGCTCGGGGCAAAGTAGCCCCCGAAATGCCCAAAAGAGCCTGAAAGTCATAAAAGAGCCCCCCCCCCCCCACCCCCAATTTTGCATAGAGTGTTCAATGCAAAACAAATCAAAGAGTGTTATTTCATGCAAGCAAGCTTGAAAAGTAGCTCCTGTAATTTTATAAATATTTATTTCCCTGATGTATTTTAGATGACTTTAACTTAAGCATTTACCTTGATCTTGTTTGATCATATTTATTTTTCATCACAATTTTCCTTTCACATTCCAATAACTGAATTGATCCTTATCACTTTCAAATTCTCCACATTGTCTCCTCTCAGTCTGTAGGAAGCATAAGTCCATGTCTGCATGAAGGTTCCATACTTCTCCTTCCCTCCAGCGTTCTTGGAGTTATTCATAACATTTGTTTGTGGAATGTTGTTCTTTCTTTCACAGACCCAACTTCAAAGTTTTTACACCTACATGTATGAAGGGGGAACAAACCGGACTGCTTTTCCCTTCGTCAATGAATACCCCAAAGCTGAATTTACCTACTTAGTAGGTCCATGATTTAACCATTGCAACACATACAAGCTATTAAACACCCCATCTCCAGTCTCCTATGTCCATTCAAGCTTCATCTGTTTTCTTTCTTTCACTCTGTTTCTCAGTAGTCGGAAGGGTTAGATTAATATCCGTTTTCTAAGTACATGTATGCTGGCGGCGGAGGATGAATTCTTCTGGTGGCAAATTGAGTCCTTGTTGAGTGGGGGCTGGTATCAGACACAGAGCGCTCTAAAATTACATTTTCATGATGATAGAAACCCGGTAAAGTTAACCATCTCAGCTTATTCAGCAGACTGACTCTCTCTTCTCTTCTCTCTTAATTTCTCTCTTTCTATGTCTCTCTTTCTATGTCTCTTCTCTCTTTCTGTCTCTCTCTGTCTCTCTCCCTGTCTCTCTCTCTGTCTCTCTGTCTCTATGTCTCTCTCTTTCTCTCTGTCTCTCTCTGTCTCTCTCTTTCCTGAGTAGGATCCTTGTTAGGTTTTCTCTTTGAAAGTAAAGTATAACAAGGCCAATAGAGTTGACTGTAATGCTGCCATTTTAATAGCAGGGACTATATTAAACGGAAAAGAGTGACTGGATTACGATGCATTTAAAGGTTAATAATGATAGACTAACAGCATGAGTATCAAGAAAGTATTTGTAAAGATTTGAACAGATTTTGAAAGAATCAGCAATGACTTGCAATGTTTACCTCAAATTTATGTTATAACAAATAATGGACATTAACCACAGTCTTGTTAGTTTATGATTACTTATTAGAAAAATTGATTTCTTGTTGTGTTGATTCTAAGGTGGAGCCAAAATTTGAATTTGAAGTGAATACAAATCAAATATACTTTATCAAACACGCTGAAAATTTGTTCCTCATACACAAGAGATGCAGGTGTAAAGAACCACACAACAATATGGTTCTTGATCATTTTGATAATGATGATAATGAAGTCATATACACCTGTCATGCATTCAGGTTCCTGAAGAATAATTAAAGACATACAGTAAACAACTAGATTATTTATACCCGGGTAAATGTGATGCTTATTGTGTTTTCGGTAACACAAGAAGGAAAGGTGGACTGGGTGTATTAAAGCTTTAACATGCCACATTCTCGACAAACATATTTCGGGACAAATCATCGTTTCACATACTTTCAAAATTACAACACTTGGTAAGGGTATGAATAATTTAGGTGTTAAAGGTACTATGTCCCATTTGCAGGCCAAAAAAAATGAAAAAGTTAACTTCCAACTGCATTTGAAAGATAATACTAATTTAGAACTTCCCTAAAAAAGATAGGGCTTGAAAATGTGTTCAAGTGGGAAAATAATGACTATTAGTTGTCAAATCGACTTTAGGGCTATAGAGCCCAAAAGTAATAGTCTTGATTTTCAGACAATTGTACCTAATGGTCATACGTTTTATGCTGCGCAAAGATTCAATCAGTTTAATCTTGGCCATCACAAGAAGTGGGTTATTGATGTAGACAAATGCTCATGTACCCTTTACAACTTTTTTCATGTATGTTATTACCAAAGAAGAAAAAAGGCCAGTCAGTCACTCAATAGTGTATGACAGTGAAGTCTAGCAAGTAAACGGGTTTCCTTGCATAATTTGAATATGAGGACACTGCTAACGTTTAAATTTCACAGATAGGACATACATGACATATTCATAATTCCTGCAAAGTTCTACAGCATTTGTGGTTGGCTGCAAAAGGGAATAGTACCTTTAACTGTAGGTAAAAATGTTTCAGTGTCGTAGTCGAGTGGTTTAAGCACTTGACTTGAAATTCAAAGGTTGTGGTTCGATCCCCGATATGGCACTAATGACATTTGGCAAGGCATTAATCTTCATTTGCCACACTCGACCCAGGTGAGGTACGTGGTAACCTGGCAGGAATTAATTCCTTGAAATGCTGGAGTGCTGTAATGGCAGCTAGGCTAGCTAAAGCCGGGGTAATAATTAATGCACCTCAGAATAGAATTTCTAAATAGATGGCGCTGTAGAAATGCCTATAATTATTATTTTTTATTAAGCTTCAATTTTGGCTTCGTTTTTTCTAGAGTAGAATTGTGAAATATGAAAACATGAATTCTCCTTCAAAATGTATGTAGAGAGCATAGTCTTATATGGATCTTCCTTATTCATGTTTGACACATGGAAGCTATTTTCAAAATGTTGCTGTGGGGCTGACAGGTCAAAGGTCATTGTCACGGTTAATGTCATTGGCATCTATTGGGGATGGAGTCCCGATGCCCCCTAGGTACCCCATCTCATCATCAGCAGCACTCCCCCCCCCCTACCCCTAGGGTCTGATCCCTCCCCAATCATACCACAGTAACAAATTGAAGGTACACGCACCCCTAGGGGTTAACGAAGAGCACCCCAGTGGAACATGGGGTTAAAAGTTCATGACCAGCATTAGGTCTGTTTAAAGTTCAAGTGGAATGGTCCTTCTTATGATGTAGGATGTAGAAGGATGTACGTGAGGAGGAAATATTCAAGAGTGTTTAGATACATGTATGAATAAATTCCCAGCAATAATGCGATTTCTAGAGATCTGTGCAGGTCTTTTCTAGCATTCAAAATGACAAAGTAGGTTCATAGCATTATATACATCACCCCCTCTTGAAAATATTGATCTAGTGACATACTCCACCAAACTCAGTCTATGTTATTTAGGATTTTAGATGAGTTAGATACATTACACACAGAAGATCAAATCATCATGATTGAGAATGACAGTATGAGGAACTCATAAATATCGTCGCTGTTTTCACGAAGTGACGGTAGTGAAAAAAAATTGCATTCACTTTGCGTTATGATTTTCCTCACTACCGTCACTTCGTGAAAACAAGGACGATATTGTTATTATTTGGAGAGTATGGAATGCTTTCTAATTTAGAAGCATGTTGGAGGGGTATACACAATTGTGATCTTGTTATTTGTGTTTCTCAAACAAATTTGTTTGTTTTGATAGTAGAGGATTGATTGACTAGGTCCCCTGGATAGGATAATTGGATGGGTCCCCTCTGTTATATTGGTCTGAAAGTCATAGCCTCCCTCCTGGAAGATCAAATTTGATGTGTCAGGTGGGACTATCTGGGAGTCCATTGCCAGAGGTACCCTGCTGTGCAGTGAGACCGACCCAAGACCAAGCAATTGATTAATCTCCAAAGACAAAGTCAGTCTCTCTTTGTCAGCTAATATATTATTCATGGACACATTGTTGTTGTAATGTTTAAGTTTCTAATTTGTTATCTTATGATGTAATGTTAATATTTGAAGTTATGTTATTAATATAATATTATAGTACCATATCTTTTTATTCATTTTATATAGGAATTAATCTGTAGACATTTGTAAGCATGAAATTGTATTTTGTTTTAGATGTATTGTTAAGTGTGTTAAAGGACCTCCCTGTCTATTTTGTGCTTTTAAAGTCCAACTTTAGTGTCATTATTATTAGTAGTAGTATTATCAAACTACCTGCAAATTAGTACCATAATACTTTAGTTCCGTTAGAATTTGCTTATCCGATTAAATAAAACAAATTGTTGATATACATGTATTCTTTAATATGTAATTGCTGTTTTCTAAATGCTGCAAATTAAACTGTCACTGTCAAAGAATTTGTGTCACATGCATGTACAGTCTTTATCAAATGTTGTCTTTATTGGAGGAAGAGTAAAAGTCTAGCCATTTCATTGTCTCATTTCTGTATTTACAGTAAATCATTGTACGTGTGTAAAACAGTAAATAATGACATCTGTTGTAAGTATATCATCTGCCGGGAGCCATTGATTCACACTCGTTATCACAGAGTTAATGCCCTTCTGGATCTCATTTGTATGATGTGGGTTTGTTGTCCTTCATGTGATATTACTTAGAAGACAAAGAATTAGATAAAAGTGAAATTTATCTATCAAACAATTACCTTTCAGTGAATTCAGGCAAATCTTCCAATGTTTTAGAAAATGTAGATCTGTGCCGGATTTCCAACTATTTAATCTCTAAGTGAAACAAGTTAAGTGGAAGGTCTTCACTATATTTAAAGGCAGGATATTTTACCGACATCTCTACCACTGCTGTAATGTATTTTCAAGCAATTTCCAGTTCCTGTACCCAAGCTTCATCACATTGGCGTCATGCAGTTGGTGATGCATTGTGGGACATTGCTGTCAACATATCAGGACATTGTGAGCAGCAGATGGCAGTATACAACAATATAAAATGGTGTCAGTAGAATAACTGCCTTTAAAAGTACTGTTTGAGGAAGTTGAGAGTTTAAGCTTGAAATCTTGATATGAATAGGATATTGCTTGTTTGTCTAAGGTTGACCATTGCAGGGGATCAACACTGTTGTAAAGGAGTGATTAGTAAAGATTGTGTGATAATGAGATTGGCCTGAAACTGATTTGTTGAGGACTAAATCAAGCTGGCATTTGGACCAATCTGGGAGTCCACTCCCTGCTGATTCCTGGTCTATCGATGAGAACAGAGAGGTGAACCAAGGGAAATTAGATTACAGTAAAAACACTTTCCATACACCATCTTTCAACTTACCTAGGAAATGGGGGTGATGACCTTCAAAAGATGTTTAATTCCCTTTTTTCTTTGTGTTTTGTTTTCACGTTTTTTAAATTTTCACCTTAAAATATCCATTTAATGCCACACAGCCAGCAAATTTTAGACTTTCTGCTTTCAGCTTTTTGTCAACTTGGGGAGGAGGTCGAGTTCTGGGAAAGATGATTAATAATTTGTGAGCTATTTCATTCTTTTGATGTTAAAGTGGAAGAGTATCATAGAACAGTGTTTCCTAGAAAGGATAGCTCTTCAAATGCCCTCACATTAAAATGTATGAAACATAAGAGCTAATGGCTATGGACCACATTTTCACATTGACACATGTTTGTGCAGTCTGTTATACACATACACCAGTTAGTTATTTCCTCTCATTTGTGTGACATTCCACTTGAGGAGAAAAGCATCTTACTATTGGTTGTATATTGTTATTTATTCTTTAAAAGCAGATAAAAATGGCAAAGATATGTGGCAAAATGTTTTTGAGAGCTTACTGAAACTGCACATGACTTTAAAGAGAGACAACTGCAAATTAAATGTTGTCTCGAGACACACATCATTGGTAGGTAGAGGTGTTGTGGTTGAGTGGTTACGTCCCCGAACTGGCAATCAGTAGGTGAGCGGTTTGAGTCCCGCCGCGGCACTTACGTCTTTTGGCAAGACATTGATCTACATTTGCCACACTCAACCCAGGTGATGTAAATGGGTACCTGGCAGGAATTAATTCCTTGAAATGCTAGAGCGCCGTAATGGCAGCACAGCTAAAGCCGGGGTAATAATCTCCAAGTTTGGAAGCGCTTAGAGACTTAATTGTAATTCATGCTATATAAAAGCTGAGTATTATTATTAATTATTATTAGGTATGTCAAACCCTAAGCTTTGAACTCAAGGTATCACATCAGCCTCTAAACCACTGCAGTGCTAGCTCCCACATATAAGGTTGAATGGTATATGATTATAAATTCAATAATTCACTTTCATATCTTTTGTTTTTTCTGCAGAGTGATTTGGCGCATTCAGAAGCTGACGATAGCTTATGTGGAATACACTGAAGGTAACCCAACCAGCCTTTATGGAGACACATAAATCAACCCTTTAAATCAATCTCATCCATAATGTGAGTTCCTAATTTGCAGAATGCACCCTCCTTGTTGAATGTATAAATACATTTCATCTCTTCCTATATTTCACTATTCGTAATTTTGTCAGTCCTTTTTCTCTGTTCCTCATAAATAGCCATCTTTCATCGCTTTTAAATCAAAACATAACATTTTTAAAAATCTAATAAATGTGTAAAATATTACCCAGTTGTTATAATCTTATGTATTTCTAACTATCTCACTCACAATCTCTTGTTTGTTTGTGTGCATCTTTCATCTCACTCTTTCTCAATGATATCATCTTCAACATCTACTCTCAATCAGCTATCAACATTTCTCAAAACATGTTTTATTCTACCTCTTCTCTTTGTCTGAATTTGTTTGCCCCTATTTGAGACCCTCTCTCTTCACCCTTCACTGTGCTAAGTTTCAGGTATGTAATACTAAATGATTGATGCATTGAGCTCTACTAATAAACATTAATACTCATCCCTCAGGAAATGACTCCGACTGCTTTTATGCTGGAAACAAAGCAAAACTGACTTATTTTTATGGAAAGAACATATGATTTTCAGACTTCCTGAATGTTTGTTATTATATTTGTGTTTTGTTAGACATGGTGAAAACTTTTTATTTATTTTCCTTTTGCATGAGAAGTATGATTCCATTCATTACAAGTTGAGATATCTTCCTAAATAATACATTCTTTAAAAGTATACTTGAAAATGCAATGATTTTATTCCCCTTTGTTTTGCTGATAGTTTCCCAAGATCAAATAAATGTAGTCAATTTGATGGATAGTTTATTAATATGTTTTTTAAAATTAATATTTTTAGCCAATGCACACTGTTTCTGTCACTTTTGTTTTAATTGATGTTATGCTTTTAATCCATGCTTTTTCAAACCAATTGACATTTTGGTATAGTACTGATAATTCATTCATCCATTACAAACTACAGTTCATACTTCAAGCGTGTTTTCATAAATCAAACTTGTTATCATAAATCATTATCATTTTTACAATTGCACCAACGTAGTATAATATGAGCAAAGCCAAGCTACATTTATTTTTAAACCAAAGCAAACATTTTCACATTTGCAATGTATTTCTGAAATGTAATATGGTTTCTAGCTTACAGAATGCAAAGAAGCCAATTATGCTGTGATAAATTCTATTCAATTAATTGAATTTCACCAGCATACCATAGTGTAATAAAATCCATCTCATATTTTAACATTGGATTTCTAATGTTAATAACATGCATGTTAGTCGTTCATTTTCTGCAAAGTGCAGTCACTTAGCCTAGTCTGAATACAAACATGTACATATTGCAATTTACAGATCTAGTAAAATAGAAACTGTTATTCTTTCCTGATGTTGCAATATTCTTTTGTAATGTATCTACACTCTACAGTTATCTAAAAAAGATTGTTTGTCATATAAGATAAAGAGCCCAAATAGACATAGAAGAGTTCTTGGATTTCTTTCAAATGAGTTCAAAGTGTATGTGGAAACGAGGCATAAAAAGAACCCTGCTCTGGAGTGAGACTAGGTCAGCTAGTAGACTGTGATGGTAATTGGTCTTGTCATAGACGACCAATTTTATGGCAAATTAACATCAGTTTGTCCACTCACATTAACACATCTCATGGGCTAAACTCCTCCTAACTGCCAGTAAGCTTTATCAAAATTGATTTCAAATGTTGATAGAAATATACCCTTGCCCATAACCAGTTAGAGGCATGGTATTAATTTTCTTGACAAATGCCCCTGAAAGTCAGTTAGAGGTCACTTTTATCCTCAAGCTTTTCATTTTTCAAATACTTGTTTTCCCTTCCTAGATGCAAAGTTTAATTGAGAACAGATGATGTGTCCGTAGCCTGTAGCAGCATTAAATGCCGTTTGCAAGCAACTGATAATAAAGCAGCATGGGCAGGGAACTTTCCTTGATATGTAGCCTTCACTTTCAAAGGCATTTTTCAAAATTATTTTCTCTCTTATTGATTTTTGGGTATTTTGTACTTACCGTGTAGTTCTTAATTTATATTTCTTTCTTCATGCATTTATGTTTCTAAAATTGCTAAAATTCATATGTATTTACTGAGTTGTACTTATACTTTCTTTTAAAAGTTTATTTGTATTTTGTTCATGTATTTACATTTATTGCCTTTAAATGGGTTCATATGTATTAGTGTTTTTACTTTCATTTCATTGAAAATATGTTTTCTATTATATGCATTTGATCTTTGCCGATGCTGAGTATGATTAATTCGCATGTACTTGATCTTTTGTGATACCAACATTCGTAAAGTATAGGATTTCTGTAATTTATTCTAGATCTGAAACAACACAACACCCTTTGTTTGAATATGTTGAGATTTATTCATACCTACTACCATCTTTATCTCCTTATGACTTGCGTCCATCACTTCCAATCCAAGAGCCACCTGCCTTTGCCCATCTTTTCAAAACTTTAACAAAATATCAACAATTCCATCTCAATTATCCATTTTCTTTCCTTTCTTGTCCCCAATAAACTGAAACCTGAAGAGTTTCTAGTGGATGACCCTGTGAACATTGGACCTGGACAGCTTCGACTCAGTGAAACAGACTGTTGATGAGAAGTGCTTGTTGATATCACCTGAGACCTTTTGAGGGTTGAGGAAACTCTGGAGAATGTGAGATATATTTCACCCTCACTCCAGGAAATGATAGTCCTTAGACGAAGATACTCTTTCAGAGGATAATGACCACCTGTCTACAAAGACCAATTTTTCTGTTTCCCTTGAAAATGGTTTCTCATTGAAACATGTACTAAAGGAATCTGTACATAAAGACCACCTGCCTATAAAGACCACTTTTCCTGTCTCCCTTGGGTGGTCTTTATAGACAGGTTTCACTGTATATATGTATTAACTTTCAAGGTTTGGGAGAGAGCTGTTAAGGAATTATGAAAAGATCTTAAATGTGAATTGGATATGAACAACTGTGGCAATGAAGTCTTTGATTTGTTATCTTTACTTGCTTCATTAATGTGTCATATAGTAAATTCATATTAAAAATATCATACTCCTTTTGGTGAAATCAGTTGCAAGGTTTGAGAAAGGACAGATCAATGAATGAATGAAAGAACACTTGGCAAACTACCACAGTATTAGATTACTTGAAGAGTTTAAAAAATGACTGTCAATGGATGATAACTTTTAAGACAGCTTTCTCTGTTTATTCAAAAAAATGAATAAAGGACTAGCACCTAAAAAATGGTAAAATCTAACAGTTTTAGTTTAACTTTAAGTTGCGATGCGAGGTTTATGAAATAATGTCTTTGCATAAAATGCTGATGTAGACTGATTGGGAAGAGAACTGCTTCATTCTTATCCAATATCATCATCATAATTTTTATTTTATTTATTTATTTTATTTATTTATTTATTTATTTTTTTTCTGGGGGGGGGGGGGGGGTGGTTGTTGTCGTCTTCCAGTCGATATAACAGATTTATATTCTATGAAAAGATGAAACTTTAAAACTATTTAGTTCAACTTTATACACAATGCATGTACATGATCAAATTTTGTTCATGAATTTATCTCATTTGTTAGCATAGTCAAACAGTAAATAACATTTAACTTTGAAGATGGATACATGCATTTAGATATTTTCATTCGTATTTGATCAGTACTTTTTCATTGTTTGGTCCGTCATCGCAAAATCCATGTCATTTCTTGCATTTATGAATTCTTCTTCTTCCTTTTGAGTACAGACCTCTTTACAGAGTATTATCGTACTATACTGGGGTGTGTGCAGGTGGACCACTACACCCTACTCTTATACGAATAGTGCAGTGGGTTCTTAACGTGCAAAGGTAGTGACTCTTCTCTACACGGGGCCTCCATTTAACGTCCTATCCAAGGGATGGAGTGTTTTCCACTTAACATAGCCTGCGTCTATGAACAAGGGAAGGGGCACATTAACACACAACGCAGGCTTCAGTCATCCGTCTGGGTGGGAGTCGAACCCGGGATCTTTGGTTCGACAGACGGACGCTTTACCGACTGAGCCAACTCGCCTCCTTCTGAATTGTGTGCTAGTCTACACTACCAGTATATATGGCACTTAGAGAGAGAGAAAGGTGTCTTAGATGAGTGGCATGTCACTAATGTCCCTCACTGACCCAGGCGTTGCTCCTCTCCACCCAGGTGTTGAATGGGAGCATTACTGTGTTGGATAAACATGTGCGCACCCGTAAAAAGACGACTTTCTGGAATGCTCCCTAGGGAGTGGAGAACGTGCACTGTAATGTGCAGAACAGTAATTGAATCCAGTGACTGGGATAATTATAAATACTGCAAGTGCTTTGATCAGTTAATGGTAAAGTGCTATAAGTGCTTTATAAGAAACCACTATTAGTATTATTCTTATCTTGATTCTTTGATTTACCTCTATACTTTCAAGTTTTGAATTATATATATATATATATGTGTGTGTGTGTGTTTTTTGTATTTGAATTGTCACATTTTATGTAAATCAATTATATTATACACTGTTATTGTTAATTGAATATTTTGTATATGATTTTCACTAAATGCAGAAACATTTGCTAAAAAAATAGGTAGGAATAATAGTAATAATACCACTTTCATAATAGAACCTTTACCTACAGTCACTATTGTTTAAGCAGTCTTTAATCAACGGGTTACTAGACTTGTGTGTAACATGAGTCATTCTGATTTTTTGTAATGAAAATATACATCATCCTAAATTGAGAACAAAATAATTGGGGAAAAAGCACTTTGTTATGTGGTTGTTACACAAACCACTAGCTCAATGTATGTGTATAGCTAATAGAAACTACCTGATTGTGTTATATAGAACAAGATTTATCAAATATGTGCATCTCATTTTATATTCAATAAAAAAGGGCTACTTTGAGTCTTTTTGTACTAATGGAAATAATGGAACCTATTTAGTCAAATCTACATGGACTTTGGTTGTGCTGTTTTGTGTTGTATTGTCCTGTGTTGTACCGTGTTCTGTATAAATCCATTTACTTTATTGATATGTTATTACTGTATGCGATGTTGTTGAGTTTTATTTTCAATTATTAAAAAAATATAAAAAAATATAAAAAATTGTACTTTGGTTTTTCATAATACCGTACTGAAATGTGAGAATTAATGAAGTAAGAAGAGGTTCTAATGTTAAGTTCAGACTAAAATTAGTAGAAAATAATGAAGAAATGTCAATTTGATAAGAACTTTTTAAAACAAATCTACTTATCTTGATCGCTGCCATGAGAAGTTTAATTAAATTGAAATGAATTTCATTATACATGCTTGTATGCCTGTCCTGTTAATATCTTTGAGAAAGAAAACTGATGTGGTGTGTTTAGAGGTGACATTGAGAGAGAAACATAGTAGAGACATAGATTATTGGGGAGGAGGAGGGGGGGGGGGGGGTGGATAAAGAGATGTAGAAATTAAGTGAGTAGGTAGATTGAAAGATGGGATTTAGAGACATGGGGAAAGGGAGGGGGAAAGGAAAATGCAGAGAGAATGACAGAGGATTGAGAGGCGGAAAGAAAAGCAAATGAGCAATGGTGCACAAAAAAAATGAGGGAAGGATTTGAGAATGGTAGGCAATAGTTTGTATCATGAATTAAATGCAGAGAAATAGTACAAATTCAACCAAAGAGTCAAAATTGGGGGTGAAATAAAACCTTCCTCTCCCAACATTTGTATAGATTGTTTTGAGACGGTGAGATGTCTTCAGAATTTGCCCCAAACATACCCTTTCAACATTTCTGATATTCCTTAATAGAGGTTATTTTCTCCAATTATTACTTTGCCTGTAGGATATAACCTGTTAATATAGCAAGGTTGTAATTATTAAACTTACATGGTTTTGGGGGCATGTCAAGAAAACAAAATATAGCTGGAGCCAGCTCTGTTTTTCATCACTCAATTTCTAATTAGCCATTAACATTTTATGGAGACTTTTGAATAACAAGTCCACATCAATAGATTGAAGTGATTTTGACTTCTCCTCTGGGGCCATTATGCTGCAGATATTGTGCATGTTGGCCTGGTGTTCATCAAACATCTAATTACTTTACAAATTACCTCCATTTCAGCTGCTTTTTTATAAATCAATTTGCTGTTGGCTGTTTGGTGATAATGTATTGAGGAATAAGAAGAAAAATAGAGCTTATAAACATTTTCAGCTCATTCCAGATTAATTGTAATTGACATGAAGAATTTTAAGGAAATTGAAATAATTGTTGAAGAATAACATTTATTTTAAGTTTTCTTTTGTACAGGATCCCTTTCTAATTTGTATCAAGTTCTCTCTTTCCGTATTACTAATGTTTGAAATACATGTATAGGGTGTTCTTGAAAAGAAAACAGAATTTCAAAGTTCAACAACATAATTTCATATCTAAAATGTTAAAGATAAACTTTAGTACTGGTAATGCGATTGCATTGTGAAAGAAAAGGTGTGGAAAGGATCAGAAACAGGATCATGTAGCATGTAAGTATTGGTGTGCACTGCAAGGTTCTGGAGTCATCAAAATCATAATAAATTTGACCGACTCTTGGTAAAGTAACAAGCACTGTACACAGAAAGCTATATATGGGACAACACACATGGTGTCGGGGCTAGTACTAACTTGACTTCCTTATCTTTCTATGCTCATTACTCCGCCAGTATACATTTTCTTCCAAAATTGTTTGACACATGTCATTTATTTGTAATCTTGAACATTCAGTGTAAGTTTTGTTTGATTCTGTGAGAATTAGTTTTCTTTTTTTTTTACCAGAACTGGAGTTTATCTTTAAACTGAGGTGAAGAGCAACTCTTGAGTTTTTATTGACACCTGGTTTGCATTATCAGTGCCATGCATCACTGTGTAGAGTGCTCTTCATGCAAAATAACAATAACTCAATTTTCTCAAGCTTTTGGAAAATCAAAAGTTGGGGCCCAATCTAACTTGGCCTAATTATGGTTCATCATCATCACCATTATTACTACCATCATCACCATGATTATTAATTTATTTATTCATTTCCAATATTTAGACAGGGTGACTCATTATCATCAATAATGGTGGTCTTCCATGAGGCCCTGTTGAACATAATAAGAAACCATAGTTTCAACAAAACAAAAAATAATAACAAAAGCATTAACATAAAGTAAGAACATGTACACTGTATAAAGTATTTGGTGTCCTCATAATGAAACAATGGTTTGTTTTGGTTTGCTTTGCTTTTTTGTTCAAGAAAACATTGTTGCATATTTATAATTTCTTAATATAACGTAGTATAGAAGGTAATTAGTTACCTTCATCTAATATTACCAACATCATCATCATCACTATCACCATCATCATCACTATCACCATCATGATCACCATTAGCACCAACATCACCACCACCACCACCATCACCATCACCAACACCAACACCACCACCTCCATCACCATTACCACCATCACCACCACCATCACCACCACCATCATCATCACCACCACCATCACCATCACCAACACCAACACCACCACCTCCATCACCATTACCACCATCACCACCACCATCACCACCCACTTTCATCATCACCCACTATCATCACCACCCACTATCATCACCACCATCATGATCATCATCAACAGCATAGCCATTGAATGCTGATCCAATGTATACTCCTGGGCCCTGGTTCATAAAACTTGTTATCAATAATATATGCTTGTTTTATGCTATCTTTTGTTTGCTATCAGCCAATCAAATACCAAACTTACATTACCTTATAATAGTTATAGTAACATGTTATATGAGACAGGGCCCTAGAGTCATTTCATCCAAGATATAGTTTGGTGTGCACTTGGGTTTTAGTTAAAGATGAAGTTAAGTTCTGGTCATGCGATTGCATTGTGAAAGAAACGGTGTGGAATCGACCAGATAAGGTTGATCATCTAGTATATAAGAATTTGTGTGTATTGCAAGGTTCTGGAATCATCAAAATGATAAGAAATTTGGCAAAGCCTTGGTAAAGTTACAAACACTGTACACAGAAAGATGTATATGGGACTACACGAACACGTGGCGTAAAAATCCTACCTGGATTTTTACGATGTTACATGACATATTTAGAATATGAAGGCATTTGAAGAGCCATGCTTTTCAGGGAACTTGTCTTATTTGATGCTCTTCCACACTTGCATAATAAGAATGATAACGCTCACAAATTATTTTTCACCTCTTCCCAGAACTCAACTTTCTCTTTAAGATATATATTTATACATATAAGGGTTGGTTGGGTATGGTATTATGGTTCAGGGTAAAAAAAAATAAAATTGTTTAGTGTTAGAAATAGACCACTTCCACTTAGAGTGAGGAATGCCCTGTCACTGCAATAATCATTCACATACACAATCAGACACTGTTGTATCACAATCTTGCATTTTATTCATATTAACGTATACTGTAATGGATAAAGATATTGGTTTAAATCATTACCCTAATACAACATTATAGAAAAGGAAATTATTATTTTCATACCATCTGATGTTAACACAATTCTGTTTGCATCAAACTTCATCATTTTAATAGTTTAAACATATTTGTGGCTTACACCCAGTAAATAAGATCGACTGATTGATCTGTAATTGAAAAACAAGTCGGAAAAAATCTTGGAACCGGCGGGATTTGATCATTTTAGCAAAGAAAAATGATACATATCTCTCAGTTCATATCTGTATTATTGCTCACAGCTCACAGTCAAAATGTGTTACCGGTAATGACCCCCAAAAAAATCAATTTGAAGAAAGAAAAAAGATGATTTAGGTCAATACTCAATACAACTCTATAAATGATAAAACCCTGGGCCCCGTTTTATAAAAACTTACCATCAATAACAACTGTCTTATTACAAATTTGATCTCAGCCAATCAAATGCAATGATTTGAGTATGAGTAGCTTATAACAGTTTTTGTAACTTGTTCTTGATAACAAGTTTAATGAAACAGGGCCCTGACCTGTTTGCATTGGAAGAAGACCTTAGACACATCTGTAGGTGGATGGATGCATGGAACCTTGTATCCTTGACTGTATTTGTACATCAGTTAAATGAGGAAGCCACCATGACAACCAATATCTCTATCGAAGCAATGCCAATAATGTACATGACGCACATGTATTTATCACTGTACTTAAGATGAACTATACATCATATTAGATGCACAGGGACTTACATGTATAACTGCATTGAATACATGTAGTGCTTACAACCTTTTTGTAATTGAACATCCCATGTAGAGAGACCACCTTAGATCCCTATGAATGTGGTTATCATTCATCTATCAAGAACACTGCACTCTAGCAAGTAGGTGCAATTCGCAGCATTCAAACGATGTCATCAAAATTACCAAGTCTAAATAGCTTTTTTCTTTCTTTCCTGGACAAAATCACTGCAGCTAAATAACATCTTAAAGTACAGCTATACAGTGTTGGTAAAAAAACACTCTGATAATGGAAGTGACCATAGACCTGACCAGCAAACATACAACCTCTTTTATACATGGTATTTCAACCTACTTCAATCATAGGACTAAACTTGATTCTCCTCTTCTGTGAATAGTCAATGGTAATAGCCCTGGGACTCGACCAAGCTGGGTGTTAATGATCGGTAGATTTCAGGGTGTTGACAAGAATCAAACTTCAGTCTCCCGTGTCCTGAAGAGCCTTTCTTGATGGTAAGGATCTAGACCTAGCCTGGTTTTCATGATTGGTAGGTTCTTAGTATTAGCTTGGATGTACTGTCAAGGGCTAAACTTCTGTCTCCTGAGTCCTGAAGAGCCTTTCTTGATGGTAAGGATCTAGACCTAGCTGGGTTTTCATGATTGGTAGGTTCTTGGTAAGCTTGGGTGTGCTGTAGCTGTACAGGTAATGTAGCAACCTCTGCTCTAGAAGATTGACCGCATCGAGGGTGAGTACCAGTGTCTTGTGCTTCAACATACTGTAAACATTCAGACCTATAAACAAAGAAGAAATGAGAACACAATAAAACCTTCATTACATTGTCCAAGTGTCTCAAAAGACAAATCAGTCAGCAATTGATATTGAGGACTTCTGTTCTTCATGGATGAAGTACTGTCATCTACATAGGATGAAGATTTTCCTATTATATAATCCTCAAAGTTTGGCTAGGAATTTTTAAAACAAATGCACTTCTTAAAATGGGAGTTACTATAACTGTAATAAATAAATGATTTGGTTCTTTCTTATCTATCTCATTCCTTCATCAATAGTTTCCATACTTTGTTGAAGATAACAGTGAGACAATCGGCACATTCCAAAGTGTTTTATGTGAGATAAGTCCACTTCCCCGTAGAGTGATAAGGAAATCATTTATTCTCTTGATGTCACATGCTTGGAAAGCCTCTATCACCGATTGATGGATTGTTTGGTGTTAAGATTCCCTCATGCAGGGTTGATAGCCTAGTATGTGCCCCCTTCAGACCAAAGCAAATATAAATGGAACTCAAACAAAGAAACTTATAAAGAATCATGTAGCCAAAACAGACTAACAAACAACATTATATAAAGAAATGTATCAAGAAACAATTTTTTTTTTAAAGAGAGCAATTGACCTGACAGCTGGCCAATCATTAATGTGTGGTCAAGATAAATCCCAACCAGTTCGGTGGTCAAGATAAGTCCCGCCCAGTTCGGTGGTCAAGATAAGTCCCGCCCAGTACGAAGATTTTTTTTATAAAATACAACGTTCAGCTTACATGTAGAGCGGAATCCTTATCAAGTTTTCATTCAAAATGATGCTCAAACATGCATTTTGCTATCCAACATTTGTTAATCAACATTTCTATAAATGACGTTCAATTACTTATCATATTCTACTACAGTCAAACCTGCTTAGTGACCACCTGTCTACAAAGTCAAAGACCACTTTTTGTGCTTTCTTTGGGCGGTCACTATAGACAGGTTTGACTGTATAGCTATACATGAATTCTTGTATTCTGAATGAGTGGTTAGTGCCAGCAGTATGAGCAGGCCTTCTAACAATGATAATCCTTGAGCAGTGGTTTAAAGGCATAATGCAGCATCTGGGTCTGCCCTCATGCATCATTTTCTTTTATCAATTACAACTAACACAGATATCTGATAAATCTACTCAGAGCCAATCAAATGCAAGGATCTCAGTACCTTATTCATATCATACCTTGTTATTGATAACATGTTTTATGTAACAGAGCCATTACTTTTTAAATTTCAGAGTGTATTTTTTTGTTGATGATGGAAAGGATTCTTAATAATCAGACTTATTTTAGGAACGATGAAAAATAATGCTTTAATAAAATGTACATGTAATATTTAATTTTTCACAGATCTTTAAGAAAAAGTCTCAATACGAAAATACCTGAATTACTTCAGACACAGCTGATCAAGCTGATATTTCTCCTGTACAAAATTTTATTTTTCTACAAATTGTTTCAGCACGGAATACTGATATACATACCATAACCCGGAAATAAGAATAAACATTGGGGATTCCAGCTGTTTTAAACTGTTTCATTCAAAGATCATTCATACAAAATTGAAAGTAGGTACAGCAGAGGGTCATGCAAACTTTGAGTTGACATCAGATATTTTTTTATCTATTACAGAATTAGTATTTCATGTAATCTCTCAAACAACATAGAATGCCTTTGGAATACCTTTCCTCTTCAGTGTGATAGATAGCGCCACATAGCACTAATACATTGCTAGAACATCATACAGATAAAGAAATCTTAATAAACACTCATGCCAGTTATCATTTTGAAGAATTGATGAGGGTTCCATTACCTATATTCTACAGATAATGCTAATTGATCATGGAAGTTTATGTCTATTCTATGACATTCTGTATATTGTCAGATTCAAATATATGTGACACGCTACGGCTAAAACGATGCTTTTCGGCAATCCCATTGTGTTGTAGGAGTCTCCAAATATGAAATTTTGTCTTCAGAGACCAACATAACAAAATTTATTAGTTGAATAGTGAAAACTAGTAGTACATTTATTCAAAATTGTTTTGGAGAAGAAATCAAGTCAAAAGATGATCTAAAAATCTTTTTGTATCATTTTTTAAAACTATGATAATTCCTGAATTCCTTTGAATAAGGTATCATATTAAAGGTAATTTCTTACTTTTTCCAGTGATATCATGGACTCAATTTTCATTTTCACCATGAAGTGTTGGGATTTGCCATAGCAGGTCACATATAGTTTCCCATATAATCTTTCCTTAAATTATCAAGTAACACAGTGTAAACTGCCTCGTTAAAAAGTGTACCGATAGCGTGAATTCACGTTTGGAACAGAAACCAACTGTTGAGTGGCGTCTTACTCTCCAATGACCAATTCTGATAGTCTGTTCACACTGAAAGTCGTATGAAGAAACGTTGTATAAAAAATGTTTATCTTCTGATTCTTTCAAAACTCATCTCTAAACATTCCTTTTCAAGTCTTGATCGTTTTTCCTGTTTACACGCGCCTTGAGCACTCCACAGAGTGGATTTGGCGCGATATAAGTTACATTATTATTATTATTATTATTAATCATCAAAATATAAGTAGTGGAAGTAGCTGTACAGACTAGACACAGCATTGTATAAAGAAACAACTGTTGTCATGAAAGCTGGCCGATCATCAATGTGTTCATAAGCCCTGTCTACTTTGTATATCAGACTAGCTCAGATTCTAAATCCAGTTTTCAATCGAAACGATGCTCAAACATGCGTTTCGTTATACATTTTCTTTATATTAAGTTCAGACTAGAAAAATAAAATTACAATGAAATTCAATAGTCTGAATGCAGGAATATTCCCTGATGATCAATTCTAAGTAATACTTCTTCTACTAATCCTCATTTTGTCACGTTTTCTAAGCAGCAGCTTAGTGTTGATGGATGTCTCTCTATACACAGTAGGATAATCAGATTTATTGATGGGTGCTTTGAAAGAAACCATCTGCTCAAAACACTCAAATCTTCGCTAACGACTTCATTTTTTTAAAAACTGCCGCTGGTTTTTAAACTTCTTTTCTGCTTCAATTTTTTTCTTTCTTCTTTTTAATGTGCTAAATATCTAAAAAAAATAATGCCTTAAATTGCATTTAATATTTGTGAAGCAGATTCAGAAGTAATCATTGAATTAGGAATAATGGTTTAAACAGATTTGGAGGGCAAACAACCCTAAAATATTTCAACAGTTATAGGAGGATCTCTGTTTACTATTTATAATCATTTGTCTTTCGTTTTTGTTAAAGGGGAGGAGGGTGTCAAAATCTGTAAAATCAGTGTAATATATCGCATTAATATGACTGCATACAGCCCTAATATTATTCAAACTAACTTTAGATGTATGTGATTCATCATCCCGCCCCCCCCCCCCCCCCCACAATAGAAAAGGAATGAAATGCTCACAGGTACATTTCTTGGGGATTAAAAGAAAAAAAAGTCAATAGATGTATGTGTATGACTTTGAAATTATTTCTAGGAATAAGGTACACGTGCTGGGACCTCATGCTCAACTGGAATGCCATTACTCAACAGATTGAGAGGAAATCTGGAAAACAATGATTTGCGCACATCTGTAGCTCCTGGAATTCCTTGGAGTAAAATGCTTCTATCATTATGGACATCACTACTCACTCCTCTTAAAACATTCTGATATGACATTCATTTCAATTATATTATGTATTCTTAAAATTCATCAAAATATAACTTTGATGACTATTTCTGAAGGCTATTTCAATAAAAGTATCAAATTTAACACATTCGCTTCCTTCCGCCAGATGGAGGTGCAATAAACAGGGAAACTAGAGCCACATGTTTATAAGATGCAACCCAAGCGATGATTGGATGATGAGTGCTTAGAAAGTGGCATAAAACCAGGCCCAGCTGATAAGCAAGGACATCATTTTGTGTGAAAGGGACCAAGACCAGCATGACTACCTTTAAAAGTCTATGATGACAGACACAATGATATTTCCTATGAATATGAACCTTTTTCTGAGTTCATATCGTAGGATGGGAACAGGGAAGAGTGTCCCAACATGAGACAGGATGAGATGCTCTTCAGCTGTGATGGAAAGCATCTCATATCCCAAGTACAAGAATGAGATGAAGAAACTATGCAAGGAATACTCCTGGGTCTGGGAGAGTCAAGATGGTACACACTTGATCACAGGCAGGATTGAAATCCAGAGACCAGGGTAACATTGTAAAGTGCCTTCATGTATTCATGTACTGTAATATTTCAATGCAAATTATTACTACCAGTGTGATTTCATTGTTTAGAACACCATTTCACAACTTTTTCTAGTCACGCCACCCTTTTAATAAATAAAAAGCAGATGATTTCATCAACGTGTTCTCTGACTCTGAATCCTATATACTGGATTGTATAACTGCACCTGAGCACTGTACAGCAGAGGTAAATTTCCATTTTGCTTTAAAATGACTCAAAATTGCAGTCTATAAGAGCTCTATATTAATATTTCTGTGGAGATGAAATCAAATAAAAGTCAATTGAATGTCAACATGCAGCCAGCAATATCTAAATCCCCAATTTTTCAACATCTTTACTTAATTCTTACAATTTTCAAATAGTCAAATTATGAAATTTTATGAGCTAAAAATCCCACCATCAAAAAGAATAAAAAATTAACTATGTAGACCCTAGTGATTTTTCAATCTCCAAACACCACAATTTGTTCCCATAGATTTTCAAACGTTCCGACATTCCGCAATGTTCCCTAAGTTGTGATTCTTACAAATTGTAGTTGATGCAATTTACTACTGCCATGACACTGGAGAATCTGGGTTAATTTAACAGAGGGAGACTCTAACTTGGGGGTTGCACAAAAACTGATTTACTCCATACTCAGGGGAAATAATATGCAATTGGGAAAGGATAACTTGATTTGTGTGGGCACATGTACAGAGCTTCAATATCTTAAAGGCAGCGTCAAGTACCGATCCATGTAAATTATAATTTGTGAGCTATCTTGTACTTCCATGTGAAAGATTATCACAGTAACAATGTAACATGTGTTTTGCTCTACAATAACTCACCTTCTTCTAATATAACAGCAAATATTAAGTCATTTCTAGACTCTAGGGACATATTAATTAGTAATCTTGTGTACGATTAAGTGCTTCTGTTGAAGCTTAAATATTTTAAACAGTAAACATGTAACGATGAACAAATTTTCTTATTTCCTGGATAACCCACCTTCCATCATTTCTTTGAGAGGGTTGATTACAAAGTATGATTTTAACAAGAACAGAACATAACCTTTAAAGTGGACAAGGCTGTTATTGAATTAGAAACATCAAGTTCATCCATTTGGACAATATTTCCATATGGGAACATGTGATGATATTGGTATACCGTGTATTATGATCCATTATGTTTGCAAGTAAAATATGGTGCAACTTTATTGGTGACAACATCATGGCAAAATATTTTGATCCCTCTAGTTACATACCTTGGTAAATATTACCCGATTACGGTTTCGCAATCATGATGCAAGTGATATGGGGTTTCTTTAAGAATGAGTATGTGTAGTCTTTGAATCTGGGCATATTTTAGACCTAAATATTGTTTTTTTTAAAGGAAGATAAAACACTTTCTAAAACTTAATATCCATATACTTGGTGAATTAATTGCATTGTTTTTATATAACTTTCAACAATGAAACAATCATGTAATCTTTGTTTGTATCAGTGTTTGGACTGTTTTTACAAGGATTTTTTTCTTCAATAAACCCAAATGATTTTGTTTCTAGTCAAAAAGTGTAATAGTTATTTAATAACTTAAAATAATTTCTAAACGATTTTTAATATGGACTGAAATTCTTTTACAAAGTAACTAAATAATACAAGGTTAAATTTATAACACCCTTAAGTCAAAAAATGATCATTGTTTTCTCTTGATAATCACAGTGAAACAAATACCTAATAAGTTAAAGCAATTACAAAGGATTTAATTGTCATCTAAACAAATAGGATAATTGTGTTTACCTTCAGCTGATAGCACATTAAAAGTCTTGATTCCATTCACCGCTTCTAAAAAGTTGAGCGGCATCTCTTCAACATCTTGGCTGTGAAATTAAACAAAATATATAAATGTAATAAGAAATATATAAATGTAATAAGAAAAGTTAAAGTCAAGTCTGTTTTGTCTTAAGTGAAAATAAGGGTTTTTATAGAGATTTTGCCAAATCAGATCATCAAATGATCATGAGTTTTTTCATATAATTCTTGTAAATTCCCATTCATATGCAAGAGATCCGTTCCTTTAAACATAATAATTATTTCTTACTGCTCACTCATACGGTTTAAAATTGTACATACACTTCAGTGATTCTTACCAAAAAAATAAAAACATGACATTATTCACAACTGAATGATACATGCCATTAAAAATAAAACAACAACATCAACAACAAAAACCTATCATATGCTAAGAGAGAAAGAGAGAGAGAGAGAGAGAGAGAATAGGCCTGTCTTCATCAGCTCGAGATGGCCAAATAGCCTGCTATTTCGGATTCGAGAAATTGGCCCGATCATTAAATAGCGGGCTATTTGGCAGGTGAAGCTCGCGAAACTTTCCCGAAATAACTAGGGCTAGTTTGCAAAATAGCCAGAAGACTCGCACTAAAAAAATAAATAAAATAAATAAATAAATAAATTAAATAATAAATTAAATATTATTATTTATGAGTGAACACTGAGCAAATTTCTCGAGCTCGAGTTTCGAACTGATGAAAACATGATTTTTAACTTTGGGCTAATTTCCCAAATCAGAAATAAAGCGGGCTATTTGGCCAACCCGAGCTGATGAAGACAGGCCTAATGAGAGAGAGAAAGAGAGAAAGAGAGAAAGAGAGAGAGAGAGAGAGAGAGAGAGAGAGAGAGACTGCCTCCTCTCCTCCTGTATAATAGGTGTCATATGATATGAAAGATAATGTCTATAGCTAGCAGCACATCAAGCTATGGTTGCGTTTATCTAGCAAATTTTTGGCTAGAATCAGGTTTCTCAAACGTCTTTCAGGCAAATTTAGAAGTAGATAAACGCAAAGCCTTTTTCAAACGTCTTTAGATATGGGCATATCTAAAGACGCAAAAAGGTGCGTTTTGAATGTGACATACAGCCAGAATCACGTTTCTGAGAGATCGATAAACGCAAAGCTGTTTTGAACCTCACATACAAATATGACCACCCAGGTGTTGTGTACAAGCATACGTGTGAAGTTGACCTCCGAGAAACTGTCTGCTTCCCGGGTCAAAACAGCTGGGCAGACACAAGGCCTTTATTTTGAATCGTGAAGGGTCGATAAACGCGACATCCCGCAAATCACGATCGTATAGTGGGGTACGATAGTGGGGTACGATAGTGGGGTTCGATAGTGGGGTACGATATGTACATATCTAGTGGCAAGCCTAGATAAAGGGGCTCTTACTCTCATACTAAGGACAATGAGAGTAGAGCTTGTTTATCCAGTCATAGTAACTCATCATCACTCAATATACCATGACACATTTAGGCAAAGGCAATTTACCACTTACAGAGAGAGGAATTTTTCTGCTTTTCATCAAATAGGCATACTGGCTCTCTTCTGTTGAGAGATGAGGTAACCAAAGTACCAAACACATTTGATTTTCATGAAGAAAACAACTCTTTGTATGGCAAATCTGCTTTCAAGGGCAATACTCTATAAAATGCAAGTAATATAACACATACTGGTTATAGTTTTTAAAGAATACTGTAAATACTCCCAAGTTTCTGAACATCTAAACTATTTGTTGACACAATGATAATGACATATTGCCTATTTCATTATGTAATACAATATTGTATCATAAAACTGCAGTTATCAAGACCACTGTGATAATTAGCAATAAATATATTTCTTGACTACTTGGCAGATATTGTATGCTGGGACCAAAAATGGATGTAATAACAATGTAAAAAAAAGGGGTCTACGAGTTTGGCCTAAACAGACAATATGACACTGTAGTACAGGTACAGCATCTAAATCACAAGAATACTATAAATACTCTCTTGAGAGAGTTTGAAATGAGAGTTCATGTCAATATCGATTAACAAGAAAGGTATATACATACTGCACTGTGCTTCAAAACCTTAGATGCAGTAAACAACCACAACAGAAAACAAAATAAACAAACAACAATAAAAACACAAAACTCAAAACTAACAAAATTCTCTAAAATAAACTGTATTTAAATGTGAAATCAGAGTGCACTGATGCCTAGTTTCTTCCTCATATTCAATTACTGCAATTCACAATAAAAAGAGTCCTTGAAGTTATTGAATTTGAAATACATTTATATGTTTCCATTATCTTCTAGTGAGAGATTTTTTTTTCTTAAAGTCAATTTTTCTCAAACTGCAAAAAATTGTGATATCTTGTGGTATCTTAACATTATTAAGTCATGCTTGCAGATATGTCAAGTTCTGTTGTTGGAATCTTGGCTGCAAAGATGCCTTCTTTATCCCTCTCCCATATTACTGAACAATAATAGATGTATCTGCTTCATCAGATTTCAATCATACAGAAAGTTGCCAGTTCCAGAATCTGTCTTGCCTATATTTGGCATAATGGAAACACACCTACTTGTTCTGTCATAAACATCATCTACAGAAAGTGAAACCAAAATATATTTAACCTTCCAATCGAAGATAGACCAAAATTATTGCATTTTTGGACAAAAATTGATTTTTATTATTAATCTTTTTCTTGAAATACAATACTGTAGTGACAATTGGTAAAGTCTCCGGGGACACTTCTAAAAATAAGTCCGCCCTTTTTGCATCCCCTTTTCCAGAAATTTGCTCCTAAACTGCAGAACTTTTGAACTGAGCAAAGTTAAGTGTGAACTGAAAGTCCTATTTTTCAAGGTGGTTCATGTCAAAATGGGAGCAAACATTAATGGACCAAATATTGGCCAGACACAGTTTGTTATTGACTGGTAGACATACAGGCACAGTCAGTAGACATTTCAAAAGTAATAAAAAGGACAAATAAAACCATCTTTGAGGAAGGAACCATTCTTATTCAATCCCATTTTTGTTACTATTTAATTGAAACACTCAGACCAGTTTAGATTGAGTTGAACTTAAGTCCTGTGACCTATGATATCTGAAACAGTAAAGTGTAAGGATATCACAGGGCATGCATTATTGCTTTAGGTCATTCTTCACATGTGAATGTAATATCTAAAAAAAAAGGGGGGGGGGGGGGCATGTTGGTAAATTAAATACAAAACACCCCTGCATGAGAAACTGAAAAATAGAAATAACGTTAAATGAAAGAAGGGCCCCAATGTAAATTAGTATTTATCTGCTGATTGGGCTACCCTTCTTTTTAAAGATATGTAATCAATAATTGAATTAAAAAAAGCTACACAAGAATATTGATAAGAATGTACTGTCATTATCAAAAGAAGAATTACTTTCAGATCTATTAACTATGTCATGAAGATTTGATGTGTTTTTGTTAAAATAATAAAAAGGAGATGTATAAGATGGGGAGGCCTGGCCAATGTGATGGTGTCTCAAGAGGTCTGTAGCTCTTTCTTTCTGATCTCACTATGGGGTCCCTAGCTACACGTCCCCATTGCACCTGACTCTAGACATCAACCCAAACATTGCCCGCCCTCCAATGGATACAATCAATCCTAGTAGTGTCCCTCATGACATGGGATAATTGCTTGCTACACACAAGGATATACCTGACATCAAGGATCAATCAGGATCTTCATCATCAAAAAGATTTGATATTGGCCCTAAACTTATCCTTTAAACTGATCCATATCAAACATATGTTCGAATAATAAGGGGGGATGGGGTTCTACATAAAAATTCATTTCTAAATAATTTGATATTGATAAATTATGATTTTCGTAGAAAAATAGGGTTTCAAAGTTGTTTATATGTGCATTACAATACTTTCTGTACAACATACTTTAAGTTGACTACAGAGGTGTCTTGGTCTAGTGGTTATGTCACAAGACTATGGATCACAAGGTTTGCGGTTCAAGTCTAGCAGCATCACTAATGTCCTTTAGCAAGACATTTCAAATCTACATTTACCGCTCTTCATCCATGTGTTAAATAGGTACACGGTAGTTTGCTCAGCTTTGTGAGCATCTTTTATTGAAATGGATCCTGGATGAAATGCTCCCCAGGGAGTGGATAACGTGCATACATTGTATGCGGCAAGCCTGAATCCAATGACCAGGGTCAAAATATTTCTGTAAAGTGCTTAGAGACATCGGCATTGTATAAGCACTCTAAAAACCAAGAATATTATTACCATTAATTACATAAGTGAGTTGCAATAAGTCTAGTTGCAATTACTCCCATTGCCTGCACAACGGAGCTTAAGGGGTTTGGGCAACACAATTTAGCAATTGGGATATGTAATATTACTCTATAAATCCTTAAAAATAATTTCAGAAGCTTAAGCCAGCTTGAAGTCACGTTCAAAATGCATTTCCAATTCTGAAAGAAAAATCATTACCGTTAACATTTTAGCCTCATCAATCTTTCACTATTATTTTGAAGTGATTGTTTGAGTTGAATTGCAGTTCATTTGAACTTGTAGACTAAGAGTAGACAGCTCTATTACCCCTCCTGTATAAGGTCTGTCTATACCTCCTACGTGTAAACATTTGGCAGACCTTTCATTCAGTCAGTCAGTCAGAGGGGTTGGTCTGATGATATTTGTTCATGTTCTACCATTCTCTTGTTTCTTTCATATTCCAGAAGGCCAGCTGGCAGGCAGGCAGGGCAAAGCTGAGGAAGGAAACGTGATTCTGAGCATTGTTAAGGATACCAAACACCGATCCTATTAAGAGACTCCGAGACTTTGTTTGATTGGATCCTGCCCTCACACTGATCATTGTTAGACTGGGTATGCTTAGCAAGTGCAATTTCCAAGTGGCATTCCATGGTTTTACATACAATGCATGCAAAGAGATTTGGGATTAAACGAGGCCATACTACTCCATGTAAATATGTATACTATGGACTTGAGTTAAAGGTAAAGACCAGTATTGGAAACGCCCCAATTTC